AGAAAGCCATGGGTTATAAGGTACAACCCAACGGTTGTCAACTTGATTACCTTTTATATTGACAATTCTTCCATTATTGACGTGCCTATAGCGTGGATAACCATTAAAAATTGCAACAGTGTGGGGATTAAATTCCTTAGGAAATTTTTTTGTGCATTTACTATCTTTCATGCAGGGAGAATTGGGATTTAAAATTCCACATGCATGATTTTATAATTTCAAAAAGTTCAGGATCAACAGCTGGGTCTGGGATTTCTGCTGATATCAAACTATCAATATCTTCTGCTGTTTCTAGCTTATCAGCATTTACAAAGTGCAATAAAATATGTACATGTGGCAAACCACGCTTTTGAAACTCAATAACCTGCACATGACTTACAACTTTGCCTAAGACTCCATGCTTAAAAATATCCTCTAAGAAAAATTTAAGTTTCATTTTAAATACCCGACAAACTAAATCAGGTCTGTCATTAGCAGTTTGGCCTGGGTTTAAATTTTTTACTATTTCTCTCCATTTTGGATTGCAGGTAAAAGTAATGAATAGATCTGGTTTACCATATTTCTTTATGACTGCCATCGCATCTTCAAAGTTTTCTTTTAATGCTCTTGGACTACCAACATATGAAGAAGGCAATATAACAACACGGCCTGGTCTAACATTAAGATCATTAGCACGATTAATTACATGTTCATGCAATGCATCATATTGCTCACTTCTAAGTTTGTTTTGGTTATTTCTAATAAAAGCAAGGCGCTGTCCCTCAACTTTGACATATGCATCAACAACGTATTGCTGAAAAAGTTTCTTACCATAGAATATAGGACTAAAAGTTTGTCTAACAGCAAGCCTATAATTATAATACTGAGACAAAGTAACATGGTTTCTAACACGGGTTGCACGGTCAGGGTTGTGCTCTAGTTGATTGTGCCATCCAGCATCACCTCTCGGGAAGAATATTGGATATACCAAAGGATCCAAATTTGCAGACATAGACGAAATTGTTCTTAAAGGCTGACCTCGAGGGTATATAACAATTTCCCTGGATGCAGGTGGAGCACCATCATCTCCCACAAACACAATAGCAACTTCCTCATGGGAAGGAAGATTGTATCGACGTCTTTTTCCTGTCATTAAACCAGTCAACAATGGCGGATAAAGAGAAAGAGGAGCTAATACAACTTTTCCTGAATAGCAGCACAAAAAGAGTTTCATTTAAAAACTTCTTTGCACTGCAATACTGACAATTATGGTTTAATTCTCCGAGGTAGTTACTCTCTATAGCAATATTATTTCTTGCTATGCGATGCATATTATACCTATTAAGTTCTCGCCTAGCCTGATTTCTTTCATTTTGATTACAATTTATTTCAGCTCGCCGGTGCTCATCTCTTTCAATTCGACGACGATTTATCTTAGCTCGCCGGGGCTCATCTCTTTCAATTCGACGACGATTTATCTCAGCTCGCCGGGGCTCATCTCTTTCAATTCGACGACGATTTATCTCAGCTCGCCGGGGCTCATCTCTTTCAATTCGACGACGATTTATCTCAGCTCGCCTGGGCTCATCTCTTTCATTTCGACGGCGGTTTATCTCAGCTCGCCTAGCCTGCCTTCTTTCATTTTGACGAAGTCTAATAATTTCATTTCTTAAATTATTAGACATAATTAGGCATCAAAGGAGTGTGTAAAAATGATGCCTAATATAATAAAAGTTGAAGTTTCTTTTTTAAACTTATCTAAAATAAAGTGTAAGCAAATAATACAGAGCATAATACTATAATCTATTATATTCTACCATATGTAGCATTGTGTTAAGATAACATAGTTTTATTAAAAATTTAAACTAAAGTTATAAATTAATGTAATATTTTCAACTAAGTATTGTTTATATATTTATGGTAGTTGTTATTAATTATTGACAAAATATTATAAGTATTTAATCAAAAAAAAAAACAAAAATCAACAAATGTAATTTAAAAAAAAAATTTTTTACATATAAGAACTCATAAATAAAGCAAATTAAAAAAATTTAATGCCTGTCAACTCAGCAAGTACTGCTAGCATGGAAGGATAAAATGTAATCATCCATCAACAAAACCCTTTCATTACTTTGAAAGGCATTTAACGCAAGATTTGCAATAAATAAATACAAAACTACTAAAAGAACCTCTATAAACAATCATATATTTGCTTCAAGTGAAGAAACTTGGAAATATTGAAACTTCTTTTACTATTTTAATTTTTTTTTTAGATATTTAATATTCTAAAGAAAAAGGGACAATAATATATATGTATATATATATATATATATATATATATATATATATATATATATATATATATATATATATATATATATATATATATATATATATATATATATATATTGATGTACATACAAAACATTAAAATAATAATATAAAGAAAACATTCTCTATACAAAAAACCCTAAAAATTTAACAAAAGTTATTAAAACTTATGCTTCAACACGCTGTATACTTACTTTTATATATATAAAAAAAATTTGAGCTAAACATATTTAATGAATAAAATCGAAACTCTTAAAAATTTTAATGAGAGGAGCTGTTAGTAAAGCCTGCTTTTTAACAAAATTTATTTATTGTCAAAAGCATACATTGTTAAGAACAGAGGATAACAACATTAAAACACATTTTTTCAGCAATATTTTTTCAACACATTTTAGAAATACACTAATTACAAACAGAATTAATTTATGTGTTTTATTATGACAATACACCACTCTGCTGGCGAGGACAATATTTTTGCTCTCAACAAAGCTAGGTCACATTATAGCAAAGTACACCACTTGGCTAGCAAGGTCAACAATCTTGCTGTAAACTAAGCCCAGTCACAACAATTTGAAACCATGCAAACAACATAATTATCACTTACAAACTATAAACATATTACATATAACACACCACAAACATTGAAACATTTCATATATTTACACACTTACAAAATATAAACCCATATAACCTTAACACACATATACACAATAAAACACAATATAAATAACACACATATATAGATAAATATATAAATTAAGAAAAATATATAAATTAGAAACTTTACAAATACAACCTTATTTTTGTTTTTTGAAATACCTCGTAATAAATGTTTAACAACTTTCAAAAACAAACTATCAAACAATCTGGTTTTTTATACGGATTTTTATAACTTCTTTTAAATAAGGTATTAAACGATCTTGTTCTTTAACATGTAACATTGAGTTGACCGTGTGAGATGCAAGTGTTTTAAACACTAACTTTATCAAGAGTTTGACCTCTCGACCTTTGAAATGAGCAACGTCTTCTTGAGTCGTCTTTTAATTTAAAAATTACAGATTAATTTTATAAATTAATAAATTAATAAAACAATTGACAAAAGACTAAAATGCATGATTTAAATAAATCACCTGACTTTAAAAGCTACTTTACTAATTCAATAATAACATAATGTTCATCCTTTACTACAGAAGTTATCAAATAAAAATTGTTGATCTTATCACTAATTAAGCTGATGAAACAAAGTTTTTGATCTCATTACTGATTAAGCAGATACTGACAGATTATTAAGATTTGAAAGAGTCTCATTACGTGAGTTAAGAAGTAAAGCAGTTTATAATAAAACTCAAAGGCCAAGTATGGTAAAAAAGTCCGTGCAAAGGTGCACGAATGGTGAGCAGCAGCAGCGGCAGCGTTAAGTTAAGTATTAATTATAAGCGATTCTTTATTACATGTTTTTTTTATTTGTAATACATAGTTTCTTGTCTAAAATATTAAATATAAAGTAATAGTTGTTAGTAAACAAGTTGTTACTTAAATGTTGCTAATAATGTCTCACTTTAAAACACTCACATTCTAGTTTTTTTCTAATTAGATAATTAAACATGTCAATTAAACAGAACAATGGATGCCTAAAAGCATAATGAGTTAGAAGAGCTATATATGTAAATATTATTTTTATACAAAAGTAGGTCATATATTATATATTAAACAAATATTACTTCATCCCTCATTGCTATCTGTTTAATTTTTTTTAAACTCAAAATTATTTTTATAAGTTGATATTAAAATATTTTAATTTAAAATATCAAAGTATGAAATCTGTTTTGTCTAAAAGTCTCCTAGGCACTAGACATTAGAGTAGCAGAAAAATGTAATCCATTGTTTCCTGTCTATGATGACCACTGGATTTTATTGACTAGGCATGGGGTTTTGCTTGTGTCTTTTTAAATCATCTAACTGTTCATTTATGTGTTTTTGATTAGCAACACTTCTTTTATCAACATTTTTCTTGTTTATAAACTTTATGTTCTGTATTGTACTCCTTCTTCTGAGACTGCACTTTTTTGACGATATTTATGATCAAATCAACTAAGCTCTTTCTCCATATTCATTAGCTGGATATGAATATACTCTGTTGTTTTTAAAGACTTTAATGCTCATCATTCATCATTTATCTCTTCTGGTCAGTTTTAAGTCAAGCCTCACTCTACTCTAAAGTTTTCTTCATTGTTTGTTTTAAAATGAAAAAAATAGAACTAAAATGAATTGAAATAACTAAATAAAAATAGAACTAAAATAAATTGAAATAATTAAATAAAAATAAATAAAACTTGTTAACTTAATTATTTTAACTGAACAGGTTTGTTAAAACTAAAAAAACGAAACAAAAAATTGGGTTCATTCTGTATGCTCATTGTTAGCTTCTGTGTGGCTTTGTTATGTTCATGTGTGTACATAGTTTCCAGGTTAATTATATATGTACCAGGTTTGGTATACTTATCCTGTGGACACATTTTTTAAAGTATATTCTGTCTACAAATGATTTGTAAAGTTCATTTTATCATTTTTATTTTTGACAATTTTTTTGTAGCTTTAGATAAAATAAAATTTGTCTAGTCTAATTGATTTGTCCAATCTAATTGGTTTGTCCAGTCTAATTTAATTAACATTTACTAGTTGTATTTTAGAACATCAAGATTCCAGCTTTAAAAGATCCACTGACTCTCGAAAGTAAGTTTATTTATAAATGTTGCTACAATTATTAGTATTTATTGGAATTTTATAGAAATATGTTATACATGTTCAAGGTACAATACAACATTGTTTTACAACTTTAATAAATTTTTTGTTTTAGGTCTTCTATACAAGCCAGTTGATCGTATCACACAGTACTCACTCATTTTAAATGTAATTGTCTAATATTTTTCAAAATTTTGTTTTTGTTGTCCTTTAAATTAAACATTTTAACTGGAATGTTTAGTTAACAAATTTATGAAATATTTTTCAGAGGTAAACCTTTAGTCAAGTGACACAGTTTGTAGCAATTGTAGTTGTTATATATAAATAATAGTAAGATAAAATATTTTTTAATCATTACATTGCTTAATATAGTCTATTCGAAAATTTAAAAAACAATGAATACTTAAAAATAACTAAGAAGTCAATTAAGGTTTTATGATATATAATTAAGAATGAACAAGAAAAGATTGGAAACCACTGCCTTACATGAAAAGAGAATGTACTGTTGTTGAAAGAGTACAACACAAATCAACAAAACATCTGTAACCTTAGTAACCTTAAATGTAAAGATTATCACTTTAAGCCAACTTTCAGTGAGACAAGAAAAAATACAGAGAAGATTTAAAATTGGAAAATATTTTCCGCTTGTCTAGCATAACTGCTGTCATTGTGTGCATGACAACACACTCTCTGGTTTTGTTAAGTATAGTCTACTATTAATGCTTAAAACTGTTAAATTATGTTTAAATTTTAAATGTAAAAAAATGTTAAAATTTATATTATGTTAATAAAGTTTATTACACATGGAAAAAATTATTGCAGATATACAGACAGTTCAGTAAATATTACAAAGGAATTAGTTTCCTTATCATTTAATTGATAAACATGTAAAAAAAAAATATGAAAAACTCGAGTGCCTAATAAAAATAAACTCAAAATTAAATTGCCTATTTTAAAAAAGTTAAGATCATCTATTAGTCTTTAAAACTACCCAGGTAACTTTTCTGAGAATTAGCGAAAGAAAATGTTCTCAGTATCAGTTGTTTTTTTTTTTTAATGTTATCTTTGTGTTCCTTTAAAACTATTATGACTTTTCAATAACTTTATCTAATTTTAAAGAAAAAATGTTTTGTCTGCATCTGATTTATAATTTAGTATATTCTAATTTTTTTTCTCCTGGATTTATCATTCTTCCTTTTTATTTTAGATGTATTTTTTTAAATATTTAAATGAGTTTCAACATGATATACTTTTAGAAACATACTTTTTATTTTTTTTTGATAATGTTAAGACCAGTAATTTTCTTAATATGCTGGGGGTGGAAGATGTATTTAGTTCACAAAAAATTAAAAAAAGTTTAAAATATCATGAAAGAGCAACTTTCACTGTTAATATTCCCAACTTTAAATTATGTGTTTATTGACCCAACCTAATCTCTCCTTCATAAAAACTAGAACTTAAAAAAGATCACGCATGTAAATAAATAAATAAGTATCATGTCTATACAACTAAGACATGATTACCGAAAATAATTTTCTTCAAAAGTATATTAAATTAGTTGTATATATATATACATATACATATATATATATATATATATATATATATATATATATATATATATATATATATATATATATATATATATATATATATATATATATATATATATTTGTATTTTTTAGGATTTACTTAAGTATACATCACCTGATCATCCAGACCATCCATTAATAGTTGAAGTTAGTGGAGCACTTTTTGAGTTATTAGAAAAAGTTAATGTGGAAACATCAAAAAAGGTTTTTAAAATTATTTAATTGCTTAAAAACTTATATCATAACTTTTTATAATTTCTGATCGTGGGATTCAATTATTATAATATATACTTATTATGAGCCAAAAAAATGTAAATATATATTTTTTTCCAGTAAAATTTATTGCAATTGATTATGATTAAATGAATAGTATTTGCTTGTGAAATAAAAAAGTTTGAGATCTTTTTGTTATAGCACAATTATGCATATTTTACTGTTAAACTTAGTAGCGCATTATGATAAATCAGAATCAATCTTAATTATTTTGGTTTGTAAGGTTGTTGTTATTTACAATTTTTTTAAACTAAAACAAAACCAATGTAGTAGTTTGTTCCTGTAATATGTAGTAGTAAATTTTTCCAACAATTTGTTTCAGTAATTTTTATTCTACTATTTTTTCCAGTTATTTGATTTAAACTTTTGTTTTAGTAATATGTGACAGTATGTTTCAGTATTTCAAAATTTTGTTTCAGTAATATGTTCAATTTTTAAATTAGGTCAAATATGATCATCACTATCCTATTAGGGACATGTAATCTAGTATAACCTGTTTCATCTCCTACTGCTTTGTAGGATTTGTTTTTCTAGGTAAAAGCCTAATATACTCACATAATGGTGTCTTAGGGTTTCTTGTATGAGTAAAGGCTGGAAATGGCTGGAAAAAATTTACATCTGTTTATTTTGAGCAGATGTAAACTCCATCCAGCTACTGTCTTGTAGAAGGGGGTAATCTCTGTTAATCAGAAAATCTCTGTTAACCATTGTAATAATTGCTACACTACAAGTTCCATTTGGACAACCATTTAACTTTAAACATTAATGATTTACTTCAAACATTATTGATTGCCACACAAGCAATTCCCTTTGGACAAATGTTCATAATACTCTCTTGACAACCATTAATGATTGCAAAACTGATTCCTTGAAGACAAATTCTGCACAAAGAATTTGCGCATGAATTGAATAAAAAGCTGTTGCACAATACTGACAATAGTTGAGATAAGAAAAACTATAAACAGTTTAACAGCATAAGTAATTGTAATATATTTAGTTTATACAAGTAAATAAAACTTCAACAAATATGCATACTAATTTCTTCCCTTTATCAATAACAATTAAAACATTACAACCAGCGTTGCTCCCTTGGGTTATTGTTTGTGCCTTCTTGATGGTAACTATGCAACTCTTCCTGTTATCTCCTAATAAAATGAAAGTCCAAACCTACTTGCTTTGTGTGAGACTAATTTAAATTCATCTGTTTCATCTTTAGAACTTGATGTTTAAGGTAATTATTTTTTGATTTGCAAAGATACCAATAGTCATATCTTGTTTTTCTTCCTGCTAGAATATGGCATCTTTGGTTCCAATTTTAAAAACTCTAGAGGTGCCTTGGGCCCTTCTATCTACTGTCCAATCAATTTTTTTACTACTATTTCAAAGTCTTTAATTATCAAACTTCTAATATCTTGAGTCAATCAACTCTCTGACAAAACGGATTTTGATCTTCTCATTCTACTAAAGACCATTATAACAGAAAGGTTTTAACATTCATTAGATGGAAGTAGTGAGGCAAGAACGTTGCTCTTGGTACATTAAAAGCTTTCAATAAAGTCATGCATGCTGGTTTTCTCCATTCGGTCCATTTGTTGTATCTGAAAAAGTTTTTAAAATTGCTGAATCATTCTTTTCTAATCACATTAAATTTGTTCTTGAAGGGAAACACTCTTTCATTTCCAGTAACTTCTGGCTTAATCTAAAGTTCCACCCATGTTTCTGTGTTGTATCTCATTTATATTAATAATCTTCCTTATAGTTCCTGATAATTCCTGACAACCAATGATTCTACTTGTTGATCATGAAACGCTCAATAAAATCACTTTTTGGTTGCTTAGATCAGTCAGCCAATCTTGAATCTAATCTCTCTTCTGTGACAGCTTGAGGCTCATAGTAGTTAACAAATTTTAACCCAAACAAAACTCAGTTGTTTACTCTAAATAATTATTGCAATATTTTTGATATTGATAAAAGACTTTTACTGGGTCCTCTACTTTATGTATTTTTTGGATTATCATTCACTACTGACCTCTCATGGAAACCTCTAATTTCTAATTCTAAGTAAAGTTAACATCTGTTAAGGTTGCCTTTCTTTCTTATCATATTCTTACTCCTTATTCCATTCTATTCAATCTCATATTTGTCATTCTAAGGGATATTGTTATCATATTTGAGCTAGTTTTCCAAATGAAGGTCTCTTTCTTTTAGAAAAAGTCAAAAAATACACTGTAAAAATTGCTGCACCTTTTTAAGTGCTAAACTTCAGCCTTATACCCATTATCATAAGGTTGGATCTCTTTCTCTTTTCCACAAATACTACCATTAGGTAGTATTTGTAGAAATGAGAACTCAAGCAAAAGACTACTCAAGCAAACCATCATCATTTCAATCAAACAAAACTCAACCTTGTGTGATTCGTCATTCAGCAAAGCAGCATGATTTTACTGTTACTGTTACCTTATTCTCACAAAAGCTTTATTAATCTAATTTTTTCTGCAAAAAATAAATTTCTTTTCAACATTAAAAAATGTCTTTAAATTGGTTATAAATTTAATGTTTTTTTTTTAATTTGTGCTTTTATGTTTAATTTTAGAAAAGAAATACACATTTTTTTAGAAAAAATCGCAACGTCATTTGCTTAAAGAAGCATTTGTGGTAGAGATAGATGAAGGACGTCGCTGCGCGCGTAGTCTAATATTGTTTAATGATGTCATTATTTCTGCTAAACAAAAAGCATATCGGTAAGTTAGGTTTTAAATACATCTTTATCTATATACATTTATATATATACACATGTACATATTTGTAAGATATATATTATGCATTTATAAATATACATATATTTGTATATATAAACATATATATGAATATATACACACGTGTATATATTATTTATATATATATGTGTGTGTGTGTGTATTGTATGTATTTACACATATTTATATATAAAAGTATCATTGTCATTCTGAAACAACTGTCTGCAATGCTTAGTACAAACTTTGATATATATATATATATATATATATATATATATATATATATATATATATATATATATATATATATATATATATATATATATATATATATATATATATATATATATATATATATATATATATATATATATATATATATATATAAAAGGAGTACACAATGCCTTTTTATGGATGATGCTGATGCCAATTGATATAGGCCGATACCGATGCTCGATATTTGTAAGATATATATTATGCATTTATAAATATACATATATTTGTATATATAAACATATATATGAATATATACACACGTGTATATATTATTTATATATATATGTGTGTGTGTGTATTATATGTATTTACACATATTTATATATAAAAGTATCATTGTATATATATATATATATATATATATATATATATATATATATATATATATATATATATATATTGTATATATATATATATATATATATATATATATATATATATATATATATATATATATATATATATATATATATAAAAAAGGGGTACACAATGCCTTTTTATGGATGATGCTGATGCCGATTGATATAGGCCGATACCGATGCTCAGCATTGGCCCTAAATTTATACTCTTTTATTTTTATTAATAGGTAAATGAAGATTTTTTAAAAATATTTAAATATATATTTGAAATCAGTCCTACATTTATATTTATATATATATATATAAATATATATATATATATATATATATATATATATATATATATATATATATATATATATATATATATATATATATATATATATATATATATATATATATATATATATATATATATATATATATATATATATATATATATATATATATAGCCCTCAGATTTAGGGTTGGCATTTGGCATGCTGACATACCTATCAGAATTTTAAAGCTTATTTTTATTTTGCTTTTAGTTTATTTAAAATATAATTAAAATTGTAACATAATTAAACATAAAAATTAAAAGCAAAGTAACATTTCCTGTCTATTCAAGTCTCCCCTGTGTGAAGAAATTAATTGAGCACGTATTGAACATAAAACCTTTTGCGTACAAGGCAATCATCCTACATCTTTGCTATTACCGCAATTGAGATGTTTTAGTGTTTTAGGATTTTTCAAGATAACTACACAAAGCATTGTGGAACACAAAGGTTTTATTAGCTTTTAAAATTTTTATTAAGTTAAGTTTATCAAAATTTCATCCAAAACATCAGTAATTAAAAAGTTATGAATTATATTTTTTTTATGGCAGGAATGTACACGCTAATGGCGTAAAAAATGCCCAGGTAAATAGCTCAGTCGATATGTTAAAAATGAGTTTAACTAATTAATTAATTAATTAAATAAATTGAACTTTTACTAAATCTTACATCCATTGGCATTTTTCATAGCAAGGTTTTGCTAGTTGAATTGTATGCAAGTACTTAAGGATTTGCTGTAAATTACATATATTATTATATGTTTTTGTGCGTGTATATATATATATATATATATATATATGTGTGTGTGTTCAAAAAGTTTATTCTTACTTTATTTAAACTTTAGTGACACTTATGTTTGCAAATGGTATGCAGGTCTTTCTGATGTTAGTCTTAAACCATATGAGAACTCAGAAGGTTTGTTTTTATGTATTGTGTTGGTTTTATCACTTAAAAGTTTTTATTTTATCACTATTTATCTAATTTCTATATAAATACTTTAATATAAATAAATAAATATATATATATATATATATATATATATATATATTTATATTATATATATATATATATATATATATATATATATATATATATATATATATATATATATATATATATATATATATATATATATATATATATATATATATATATATATTAGGGTGTTCCTTAAATGAGTGAATTTTTTTTTTCGGATATTGAAATGCCTACTCCTTTTTCTTTTTAAACTATCTAGACTTATATACAAAATTTAATCATCATAAGTCAACATTAACGCATGCTGATAGAACTCTAAAGAATTTTAAAAATGCTGTTTTTAACCCTTCCTGTTATCCAGCTAAATCAGTTGAAACACTATTTAATCTTTTATTAGATATTTTATAAAATATTTAATAAAAGATTATATAATTACAAATCAAGCAGAATATATTTCTTTATTGACTAAATAATGTAAAAAAAATCTAGATGTGAGATGCAATTAAAATATGTCTCAAATATAGATTTGTTTAACATTACGTTATATGTTTAAAAAAAACCAATTGAGACGTAACTTTAATAACTTTTTTTTTCATGACAAATTTGAAAAAAAAGTTTTAAAGTAGCCAATATAATAGGCTCACTGAAAAACAAAACTTTATCTTCCTATGACAACATTAGTGTATGCCAACAGAGTTGTGAAGATTTTGTTTTTAAACCTTGCCAACAGAGCTATAAAAATTGCTATTTTTAACCCTTCCCGTTATGAAACTAACTCAATTGAAACACTTATCTAACTCAATTGAACTTAACTAACTCAATTGAAACACTTAACTATAAAATTATAGATCAAGCTGGATATTTGATCAATCTGGATACAGATTTCTGTGCTTATGCACACAACGTAGCAAAAATTGCTTTTGTTCTTCCTTTGCAGTCATCAAACCATGATAATCTTTTATAATTTTTACTGCTCTTTTAGCTGCATCATTAACCGGACTTAAGACTTAAGGAAAGAATTTTTTTTTTTGCCTCTATATAGGCAACATCTTCATCCCACGTTGAGGTCTCTAGTGGAAGTTCTCATTAATTTTAAATATAGAAAATAAATTTGTACTCTTGACAAACACAAAATCAAAGTGCTTGTTTACCCTTGGCGCTAATTTTGATCTGGGATTGCAACAAACATTTCTTTAAAGAGTAAATAGCTCTAGCCATCCACTCTGCTTGATGCATTGATCCAGGAGGATTTTAATTTTTTTCTCATTATCAATTCCTAAGAAATTAACAGATAATTCAATCAGTTCCCGATAATCATCACATACTATTGTTTTTAGCAGTTCTTGATTATAAAATGTCAGCATTATTAAAATGTTGACATTTTATTTGTTGCATGACTAAAATGTTGTTTGACGGTATCAGTATATGCTTCATTAGCAGCCAGATTAATAGTTTTCCAGTTGTCTCTAAACTTTTTAAATGGTTACATCAGGATATCAGGGCTACTTGTGATTTGTTAGATTTTTGTTTCAAAAGCACATTTTAAAACATTTTTTTTTTTTCTTCTTTTAATTTTCTTTGTCTTGCCCTTTTTTTCCTTTTTCCAAAAAGAAACTAAACATCTTGGTTTTCTTTATTTTTATATTTTTATCCGTTCTAAAGCGTCAGCATTTGCTATATCAAATAAATTATTTAAATTGTTCTGAAATTCCTCCACACAGTGCTTGTAAACATTGTTGTTTGTTGGGAAGTTTTTTTTTCAGAATTTTTTTGCAACACTCTCAAACATGGTAAAGTTTTTTTACACAGGTATAGTTCTGGTAGAGGTTCTAGCTTTTTCACTTGATACAATACACTCTTGAATAACAAGATTTTTGCTTTCACTAACAGTCAATTTAACTTTGCAAATGTTAAAAAAGTACTGCAACAACTTGATGGTTAGACAGTGACTTTACTCCTGTTATTTTTAATTAACCAACCAATTAGGAAATTTCTTTTTATTGCTTCTTAATTCCACTGCCATTTCTTAAATGTAAAATAATATATGTTAATTACGAGAATAACTCTGGATTTTCTAAAAATGTGGATTTGCTTAAAGCGGTTTTTACAACATCATAAAATTGATAATAACTATGTATTTACAATTATTTTAAATAGATAATTGTTTTCTATTTAATTTTGCGTCATTGTAAAAACATATCGCTCAAAGCGGTTTTTTGCTCACCCTTTTAACAAATAATGTGAGTAAGCGCAACTATTGTGCAACTTGTATGAACATGATTTGATGCAAGTTGGCATGGGTTATCGTACTGCAAATAAGGTAAAAATTTATTGCTGAGTGTTTTAGAAGCATATGAACAAAACTAAGGCATATGTGTTAGAAAATAAAAACTTTGAAAAATAAGGTTATAATGTATACAAGACACCGGTTATATTAGGGTGTCTTATATATGTTATATAAGACACCCTAATGTAACAGGTGGTTACTAAAAATCTGGACATACTTTCAAGGGTCATTACTCCCATAGTTTTTAAGGTAGAGATTTAAAAAAGTATCATTAAATAGTGTTTTTAGTTATTTATTTAATTTAATTAAGGTTGTCCTCAACCAGTCTGTTTCTTCGGATTCGACTAACTCGAAGACGAGTTGACCCAAAAAGTGAAAATACATGGTTAAGGTCAATTTTTTTGAGACAAAGCTTTTTTCTTTTTTTTTTTTTTTTTTTTTAACATCTTCACTTCCAACAAGGCTGCAAGCAACCACTATAAGAGTTGGAAGTTACTGGAAGAGAAAAGACTAAATCTGTAGAGCAAGATGACGATTGACTGATGACCTAAAAGATTGCAAATTATATGAATCAGGAAAGCAAGATGAAGGAAGCGAATTCCAAAGAACTGATGTTCGAGGAAAAAAACTAGAAGAATAAGAGTTTTTGAAGCACTTAGGAACAGTCACAGAAAAAGGATGAGACTTAATTGAATGGCGAGTAACACGAGAATGAATTTTAGTAGATGGCACAAGGGACGCTAGCTCTTTAGAGCAGTGCCCATTATAGTATTTGTAGAAAAGAGAAAGAGAAGCAACATTACGACGATGTGACAAAGGTTGGAGATTGGCTGCCAGAGCAGGTCCAACTATGTTTACAATTCGTTTTTGCACCTTGTCTAAAAGAGAAAGAGCATCATTAGAAGATCCGCCCCAGATGTGGCAACAGTATTCCATACAGGGACGGATTTGAGATTTATAGAGATAGAGAATAGAATCTGGAGTAAGAAATTGTCGAGCTCGATAAAGAGATGCAACCTTAGCAGATGCTAATTTTGCAATGGATTTGATATACGGTTTAAAAGAAAGATCAAAAGTAAGAGTTAATCCTAGAAGATGAATGGTAGATGACTCATCTAGTACATTACCATTCATAAATATAGGAAGATCTAAATTATTACGATAATGATTGGCCGAATAAAATTGAGTTTTATCTGAATTAAAGTTCACCAGCCACTGTGAGCCCCATGCTGTAGCAGAAGTGAGATCCTTTTCAAGCTCAGATACCCCCTCCAAGCAATCAGAGAGTGTAGGCTTCTTATCATGACAAGAGTAAATGGTAGTGTCGTCAGCGAATAATGCCACCTTAGATGTGAGAATATCTGGAAGATCGTTAATGTAAATTAAAAAGAGTATAGGGCCAAGGATTGAACCTTGAGGAACCCCTGAAGTTACAGGATGTGAAGAAGAGTGTTGTCCATTGAGGACAACTTTTATACTACGATTGGAAAGAAAGGACTCAATAATCTTAAAGATGTTACCAGCTACACCATAAGAAGAAAGCTTATGGAGAAGACCAGCATGCCAAACTTTATCAAAAGCTTTAGAAATGTCAAGTGCGATAGCCTTAACCTCTCCACCTCTATCTAATGCACGGTAAAACCTATCGGTTATTACTGTTAGCACATCAGCTGTAGAACGAGAAGACCGAAATCCATATTGATGATCAGAAAGTAAGTTATTTGATTCAAGATGAGAGATTAAGTGTTTGTTGATTAAAGATTCAAAAACCTTGTTTATGACAGGAAGAAGACTAATGGGACGGTAGTTAGATGAATCAGATCGCTCTCCAGAATTTTTGAAAATAGGGATAACAGATGCTGCTTTCCAGCATGATGGAAAACAAGACTCTGATAAGCACTTGTTAAATAGTTTTGAAAGTATGGATGAAAGCTCCGGAGAACACCTCTGCAAGACTACAACAGGAATGTTGTCAGGACCACAAGCTGTTGAAGAGTCTAAGCAGGAAATTACTTTTGATACAGAAGCTGAAGTGATGCGAATGTCAAGCAAGGGATCAACCTGTTTGACAGCTATGTCAGGTAAAACGCAACTAGTGGAATCGAGAGATGATATTGATGAAAAGTTCTTAGCAAACAATTCAGCTTTGTCTTTAGGTGAGGTGACAAAGTCTGAACCATACAAGAGAGAAGGAATAACAGATTTGCCCTTATTATTGATACTGTTAAAGATTCTCCAGAAGTCTTGAGAGCCTAATTTTTGTGATGAGATACGAGATTTAATGACCTGAGAATAGCGAGCTTTGGCGTCAGACAAAACCTTTTTACAATAGTTTCTGGCGATAGTGAACAGATGTCTGTTTTCTGGAGAATTGTTTTGCTGATAGATATGGAAGTAACGGTTTCGATTAGAAATTGCTGCAGCGCAATGTGAGGAAAACCAAGGAGAAGAGTGAGGCTTGACCTGGAATCGTCGAGAGGGAATAAAAGATTCCATGCCAGCCTGAATCCACGAAGTTATGTAAGAAGCACATTTGTCAGCAGGAAGACGAAAGATTTCTACCCAAGGGCCATCACGAAGAAAATCACGGAAAGAGTCCCAGTCAGCTTTAAGGTAGTTGTATGTGGTACGATGATAGGGGGATTCTGATGAAGTAGAAGAGTTTGATAATAGTTTTAGAGAGATCAAACCGTGATCAGAAGTACCTAAGGGTGAATGTGGAGAAATTGAGCACTGACTAGGATCCAAAACAAGACATAAGTCGAGTAGAGAAGATAAATGATTAGGGTTGTCTGGAAAACGAGTTGGAAAGTTGACTATTTGAGTTAGAGATTGAGAAAGGCAAAAGTTGAGGGCCTTAACGCCAGCAGAGTCACTGACACTAGAGCCAAGCCAATCGGTGTGATGGGCATTAAAGTCACCAACAACGACGATATTGGCCGATGGATAAAGAGAGAGGGCTTGGTCAATTTGATCAGAAATAGCATCAAGAATAGTGCAATCTTGGGATGAAGGAGAGCGATATAGAACAAAGAGAAAGGCGATAGAGTGAAGTTGTGCTAAACGAAAGCACATAAATGAATAGTTTGTAGATTCAAACCTAGTTTCACGACAAATGGGTGAGTTCTTACGAATGTAGATGCCCAAGCCAAGCATGTGATTATTGGAGTCTTTACGAATTAAAGGAAGATAACCATCAACACTAAGATCACAAGATGGGACAGCCGAACTCAAATTAGTCTCACAAAGAGCAAGTAGGTCTGGTGAACTTTGCAAGAGATAAGACTCAACAGAAGAAAAGTTACTTCGAAGACCACGAATATTAGTAAATGATAGGTTTAGAGAACTTGGTGATGACGATGGTTTTTTGTGTTTTTTAGTTTTAGGTACTTTAGTCATTTTGAATTTATAAAAAACTTGACTCAAGTATAGATAGTACTCAGTACACTATTTAACAACTAAGCAATAGCCTTATTACTATTAATAAACCCTAAGCCGTAACAAAGGGCTCCAAATGTGGCCTCTGGAATGCACACCAAAAGTACAAACAGGGACACCATCCATGCGCAACATGGCACTGTTAGTACTCTGATATTTTTTGGCTGTTGATGGAATCAGCCTCTCTGAGAGCTACCACAGAGTTCGGGAAACCTGACTACCAGCCGGCCTCAGAACCATAAAACTGAGTTTTAGAGCTGTACCCTCATTAGGAGATAATAGAATGAGTTGCCCAGTCGTAAAAATAGAGACACAAGCAATACCCACGCATTGAGTCAAGAAGATCCAGCGTTCAACATCCTAAACTGGAAACAATGTATTAAAAATACATCTGCGCCAGCCTAATAGATGAGGAAGGGGTGCGAGGCTGGTCAACAGATAGAATCTGTTTACCCCTTAAGTCTTTGCCTAGGAGGCTTTCTACAAGACAGCAGCTGGATGCATGTAACATCTGCCCAAGATGAGTATTTTTATCGAGACACCATCTCTAGCCTTTACTCAACCAAGAGCCCCAAGGCAGGGGGTGTTTTAATTCGGAGTTAACTTCTCCTAGCCTTTGCCTAAAAAAGCATATCCTACAAGGCAGCAGGACATGAAGCAGGTTGTACTGGGTTACATGTTACCAGTAGCAGGAAAACCTGACCTGACCAGTGGTGTGGAGTCGTAAAAAAAAGTAACAACTCCGACTTCGACTCCAGTTGTTGAAATTTTTTTAGTACAACTCTGACTCCGACTCCAGTTGTTGAAATTTTTTGAGCACAACTCCGACTCCAACTCCAAAACAAAATTTTTGAAAGATTCTTTAGATTCTTTAAAAAATATTACGGGATAAGTTAAAAATTTCTTTTTTGACAAATTTATGAAACATTCTTTGAGGTTTAGTATGAACATAAGGTTAATTGAATGTTTTGTACATGGATGTGCAATACCGAGAAAGTTTACTATTGGAGTTGGAGTCGCGATTTTGTTTAGCAACTCTGACTCTGAAAATGTTGCAACTCTCTGACTCTGACAGCCCTGGTAGTAGCTTCGCGTTTTTTACTTGCCAGTTACCCATATACACTTTGCCTTTCAAAATAGCCCAAAAGTCTTCAATTGGGTGACACTCTGGTACGGCTGGCGTATTGTCAACCTTTTTTGACAAAATTGATTTTGGCATAATGCGATAAGGTCAGGTCCAGCCAAAATACATAATTACCATCGACATGATGAGTATTGATAAACGGCAATTTTCTCTAATACAATCCATTTCGTAGATGGCTTTATTGACTGCAAGGCCGTTGAGAACAAAAAATGGCTTGGAAATACCTTTGTCAGAAGGTCAGCCAGATTTTGGTTGAACTTCTGACAAAGAAGGTCAGCCAAAGAAGTTGCTTGTCGGGCTGGCCCTTTTGGCCAGCTAGACAAGCAGCTTGGGTTCAAACTTGCACTTTTTGCCAAATTTAACGGTTGTTGGAGTCCAGTCTTTGTCCATAGAGTAGTAGGTGCTGTTTCTGTTTATCGTTGAGTGTGACAACATGAAGTAAGATTGGGTGTCTTGTCTCTGTCTCTAGAGTAGTAGGTGCTGTTTCCGTTTATCATTGAGTGTGATAGCATGAAGTAAGATTTGTTGTCAAGGATAACCGATTTTCCTTGAAAATTATGATAAAGACGATCAATGCCAGTTTTGATTTGATATCTTGCTTTCTTGTCGATCAGGTATATCCGGTTTTGTATAAGTTTTGATGTCAGTGTACTTGGCTAGAGTTTTAACAATATGTGAATGACTGCATCCAAATTTTCGACTGGCTTGCCTAATCGAAACTTGGTCACTGTTGTCAAATATGGTTCTCAGACACTTGATCACCTTTGGGGTCATAGTTTTGGCCACACGACCGTTTCCTTGCACTCTTTTGTGTCCAAAATCATTCTCAGCATATTTGATTATATCATAGATAGTGCTTCTTGGAACTTGTTTAGCATTGAAGTGATCTACTATGAACTTTTTAGCTTGCAATTTATTATTCAAATAGAATTCCATTTTCTTATCTCTTCTTGCTTGGAAATCATTATTATCTTAATTTTTATTAATTATCTAAAAACAAGTAAGTTAACCCTTTCCAACCTGACAGGACATATATGTCCTGGTTCATTTAAAACTATATAGAAGTTCAGCTTTTGTTTATATCCGTTTGAAAATAAATCAAAACATTTGTCACATAGTTAGGTAATACTTCAAAACAAATTTTTGTCTTATTAGCGGGTTTTTTGAGTTTCTTTTTTTAAATCATAAAATAGTGACAATCAAAAATGTTGTTTAGATTTTGTAAGCTACATTATAATATGTAGTTCTTTAAAGGATCATGCTATACCTTTGAAACTTTTTTTATAAATTATTTAATCTCAGTAGAATAAAAATAATCTACACTTTACATCTGCATTATGATTTTTGTATTATTTTTTTGGTAATTAGTTGTGGGACAAATATGTCCCGTCAGGCTTATATTACATCTCATCTTTATAAATTACATATGATACTCTCATATTACATATGAGAGTATCATATGTAATATACAAAGTTATTTGTTTTATATACAAATATTTCTTTTACAATTATTTTACCAAGGTAAGGAATTCTACATGCCGCTAAAATGGTTTTCACCAAAAAGGCACCCATTTAATATCAACCTTACACCCAATACCACCACTCACCTAATCTTACTTAGCTACCCAGTTCTACTATCCACCTACCCAGACAGTCTACCTAAATGCAGCTCATGTGTAAATGTAATATACATGTGTGTGTATATATATATATATATATATATATATATATATATATATATATATATATATATATATATATATATATATATATATATATATATATATATATATGTATATATATATATATATATGTATATATATATATGTGTATATATATATATATATATATGTATATATATATATATATATATATATATATATATATATATATATATATATATATATATATATATATATATATATATATATATATATACACACATACATATATTACTTCAATTTAGCCTGTCGGGACATATCTGTCTCGTTATAGTTTCCCTGGCAACTAAAACAAGGACCAAGAACAAATTTATGATTTTATGCTGTTAGTGCCTCTAGTATATAAAATCTTATAAAGATTTTTAAAATGCAGGTAATTGTCATTCTTTGGGCCTGAAAGGGTTAACTTATAGAGAATTAAAATAGATATAAGAATGAAAAAAAAAAGTTTAGCTTATGGCATTTAAAAGTCAGTTAAAGTTAGTGCTGATTTTTAGTCACCACCCATTATATATACATATATATATATATATATATATATATATATATATATATATATATATATATATATATATATATATATATATATATATATATGTATATATATATATATATATATATGTATGAACCATGTTTGGTTTATCCCCACCCCCTTCTCCCCCTATTTTTCTTTCTCTGATGGATCTTTGGAATGGTCTGGGGGTATTGATGTTCAACCACTATATTGAGCTGATATAAAAAATAACTCCAAGTTTCAAAAATTTTTCTGTAGAAGTTATTTTTAGGTCTACTGGAAAATCTTTTTTTTTAAATCAAGATTTAAAAAAAAAGATTTTCCATTAGTTGCTTTAGTTTACAGTTAAAACTAATATCCTAATATTTGTTTGCAGTTTCAAAGCCTATCCTTATTTTTGTTTACAGTTACAACTCCTATCCTTATTTTTGTTTGTAGTTACAACTCTATTATTCTTATTTTTGTTTGTAGATACAACTCTATTATTCTAATTTTTGTTTGTAGATACAGCTCTATTATTCTTATTTTTGTTTGTAGTTATAACTCTATTATTCTTATTTTTGTTTGCAGTTACAACAACTATCTTTATTTTTGTTTGCAGTTACAACTCCTATCCCTATTTCATCAAAAGCAGAGTGTGATAAGTTGCGAGCTAGCATTGCTAATCTTCGTGCTGAAATACGAAAAGATTTTATGCCATTACAAAGTATTGTACCATTTGATAGCCCAATTAGTTTTGCAAAGGTTAGTCTACAGTTTTTTTAACTATTAAACAATTGCTACAAATTTATTTTAAAACGTTCTTTTGTAAAAAAAAATTAAATTATTTATTTCTTTTATTGCTATCAAAGATTGAAGTATCGGAAAAAAAAAGTATTAAAAATTTATGTTATATTTTTTATCAAAATGTTACTTCAGTATTCATTTTTAAAACAAGTTAATTTATTTTAAAGAATTAAAAATTAAAAGAATTAAAAAAAAAGAAAGCATTTATTGCAATTAATTTACCCTCGTACTTTTATGTGAGCATTTAAGATTCTTTCTTAAATGGATAAGACTGTGTCTAAATCGATTTAAAAAATTTTAATTGTACAAACAAAAGTTATTACGCACATTTTTGTAGACTGCCAACACAATGTTTTAGCTGGTTTCTTTCAATATCTTTTGAACATGAAATAATGTTAGAGTTATAAAACGCATAAACGCATTTTTTTAATTTTTAAGCAAACATCAGCATTTGAGTTAAGAAAATATGTATATATATGTATATATATATATATATATATATATATATATATATATATATATATATATATATATATATATATATATATATATATATATATATATATATATATATATATATATATATATATATATACATACATACATACATACATACATTTTAATTAGTTATAGAAAACTATTTAATACGTTCTTGCTGATGATAAAACACATTTTAGAATGATTGTAATTGTAAAAAGCTATAAAACAACAATAAAACAATATTGCAAAGTGAAATTACTCCATAATACACACACACACACACACACACACACACACACACACACACACACACACACACACACACACACACACACATATATATATATATATATGTATATAGATACATATAATACACTTTTTTGGATCCATACTGATCGTACATATAATACACTTTTTTAGATTCATACTGACCTCTACTTTCAGAAAATAACAATAATAAAAAAAAAATATTATAAACCGAAAAACCCAGTATTTTTCCTTGTATACCCATTAAGTAATTTATTCGATCATGAGTTGTTTGATGACTATTACATATTTTAAAAGTTTTAAAATATTCACAATAGACAGAGCTTTTATTTGTTAATAATTTATATGTTCTCATATAAATTATGGCTACTAACTTATTGTGCAAACATTTTCAAATAACTTTATTCCCTAATGTTTCAAAAAACAATACTGATGTATTTATTATCTTTATAAGGAGGATTAAAAATTATGGAATATTTTTATTATATAAAGCTATTTTATTATTTCCTATGACAAATGAAACCGTATTAAGACTGATATTTAAATACATGAATTAAAAATATAAGATTAAAAAAATGTATAAGTCTTCTAAAAACATAAAAGTCTCCTTAAAAATTAAATCTTGAAATGTGTTTGTCTAATATTATAAACAATAACAGTTTTATAATATTAGACAAACATTTCTTTTCGCAGTTTTGATTGGTACAATTTGTGACAACTTGAAACTTTTCATCCTTGCTCATAAAACTGTTTGAAGTCATAATGAACAGAATCAGAAGTCTGTTCTGACCAAAAACCAAGACTTTTTCCAGGGTATTTATCAGCCATTGATTCCAAAAAAGCTGGTACATAGATGACTAGAGCATGTACTTTTGGTGATTCTTTGGATCGTTCAATGTCATATATGCTTCCTTGTAGGAATTGATGTGATTCTTGTAAGACATGTTCACACTTAGACCAAAGCATGTTTTCTTCACATTATTTAGTACTTTAATTGCACTCATAAGTTTTATCAATTCACCTGGTACAACTTTGAAATTGGATTTGAGAGTATTGTCTAATGTTTCTATGTTATCCTATAGCTTTGAACACTATTCATCCTTGAACTGACCGCTGTGCAATCTTGACCTAATAAATCCTATTGATTTATTCTACATATCCATGGAAATTAATGTTTCTGTTTCTAAAAGTATTTTATCACCTATGTTATACAAACATAGTGTTTCCAGAAAATAAATGAAACTCCATTGGAGGAAGGATTTCTGCAACAGACGTATCATCTGGTAGGTCTATCAAAAGAGTTTAGACACAATTTTTAAATGATGCAGCCAAAAGTTTACTTTTTTTTCTGTGATTCTCACAAGCTTTTTTGTACTTCTTTGCATTATCTCTAATCATAACAAGTGTTCTGGAAAAAAAGTAGATTAAAATCCCAAGATTAAAAAAAATATTCAGAATAATGTTTTGACTGTAAAAAAAATAATTTATAATGCCATACTAATTCTTAAATGCCTTATGCAGAAACAGGTTGTTAAATCTTCGACAATTCACACCAACTGCAGGGGTGAGTAGTAGAAGCAGCCTCAATTCCAAAATAAATATTCGCGAGCTTTAAGTCAAATGCTAAAAAATACTTCTTAGTCATAATTTCTTGCTGTTTTGATAATTCTCTTTAACATCTTCAGAATAATAAGTTTGTTTATTCCTCCGTCCTTGAACTTTTCCAGCTTTATTCCTTCTCTGTATGAGAACTTGGTTTTAAGTTCATTCGCTTTACAATCAAGAATATTTAAACAAACCTTTAGAAATCCTCCTCCCCCATCTATTCCAATTCTTACAATATAATCTGGTGATATATCTCTTTTTTCCACTAGTTGATTTATTAGCTCAGACACATTTGTACAGTAGACTAAATATTTTGTTTGCTTACTGATTTGAATTCTGTAATAAAGAAACGATGTAAAACACAATCTTGAAACACAAGTTTTTCTTTTGATTGTATTCAAAAAACTCTCTTCTTTTCCAGCTCTTAAGAATACTACAAGTTTCTGTTTGGGAATCACTTAACCTTAGAATACTTTTGAATCTTGTGACTTCACTAGCTGGCACCTTGTTTTCAGGAAAAAGGGTTTTCAACTTTTTTTTTTTTGGAATTTCGATATTAAAAATTTTAGGTCCTTTATTAGCAAGCTTCATCAAATCACCTGCATCCACTTCAGTTTTCGCTTTAGAATTTTAGTACAAAAAATCTCTGAATCTCTCTCATCTGAAATATATTAATATATTTAATGTAATATATTATATCTTTAACATCAAAAATTGTATGAACCCACATAATAATATATTTTATTGGTTTTAACGTAAATTATTATTGCACAAGTGGTTTTAGGTTAAATAATTATTATATGTACACATACATACTTACCTCTAGACAGAGCCACCTCAAGGTTATCTCTGCGAATTGAAATATTGCAAGAGTGAGGTAAGCCGTGTCCAAACGTTCTTAGACATCTTTGACATACAGATATGGGTAGGGGAGGTGGCAGAGCTGATTCAGTGGATACTCGTCTTCCTTTTTTTCAATTTTTTCCTGATCCTAAGTTTTTTTCCTGAATTTTCCTTGCAATAACACAAATTGCACGCTCACATGTAGACTGACTTCTTGTAATAATGGAAATTTTTATTCCAGAAAAATGGTGCTGGAAGAGCTTTTGATTCTTTTATACCTTTTTCAATGAGTTCCAGAATTTTTCTGTTGCGCGAACAGATACCAGAAGGATAATGTTCCTTAGCCAAGTCCAAATTTGGGATAAAATAATTTTGAAGTCTTTTATAGGTTGGGCCAGTTATTTCTTTAATTGTTTTGTCTTTCTCAAAGCACACAATGCAAACTTTTTTTCAATTGTCTTTGTGGTTTAATGTCTGATTAGGCATCATTGAAGTACTGGTGGTACAAAATGTGGACTTTGTCGAATATATTATGGAAATATTGAGTTTAATGGTTAACTTTGCATAGATTTCTTTTTATTAATTTTGATAGATTTCTTTATATTTCTGTAAAGATTGTTACAAAATTATTTCCCTCTGGATAATTATTTCTAACACTGGTTTAGAGTAATGATTAACGATTGCAACACAACCAATTCCCTTTGGAAACTTATATGAAAAACTCTCTATAATGATTGCAAAACTATTCCCTCAGAGAATAATTCTGCACAAGGAAGTTGGAATAACATTACAAGAAAACTATATTGAAATATATTATAATATAATAATATAATATAATACATTTTAATATAATATATAATATAATGTTATAATGTAATAATATAATATATAAAATAATATTTGATATAATGTATTATAATATTATAATATAATATAAATTATATTATATTAAATATTATATTATAATATTATAATATAATAATATAATATATTATAATAAATTTATTATATTATATTATTATATTATAATATATTACATTATATTGTAATATAATAATATAATATAATAATTCTGTCTATGGTGAATATTTTAAAGCTTTTAAAATATGTAATAGTCATCGAACAACTCATGATCAAATAAAATACTTAATGGATATACAAGGAAAAATACTGGCTTTTTCGGTTTACAAAATTTTTTTTTTTCTTAAACCTAAAAATTTTTTTTCAATGGTGTTATTTTCTGAAAGTGGAGGTCAGTTCAGATCCAAAAAAGATCACATGACCCTAGGAAATTTTTTTTGGTTTGAACCTACTTCCACTGTTGTGTGATCTCTGTAAGCCTTGTTGCCGGTAGTAGTGCTGGTACATCGACTAAGGGTTTGGTTAGGGTCAGGATTAAGGTCAGGGTTAGAATTAGGGCATGGTTTAAATATGCTTATATTTTTGTAAATAATTGTTTTTTTAAATGGATGAAAAAAAAAAAAAATATAATATATAATAATTAAATACAAAAATAACACACACACATATATATACACACACATAAAATATTATCTTGTCTATGATGTCATATTGATATTTATAATGATGTTATAATTGATTTGATGTTGTTTTTTTTTTTTTTAGTTCTCACTTTTTTTTATTTTTTGCAGAGAAGAAATATTTCAAACTCATCATCGTCACGATCTTCCAGTCGTGGTATAGAGAAGTTAAAAAAAAAAATTACAGAAGAGGTTAAGTATTAATAGTTATTCATTAGTTAAATTGAGTTTCTTAAAAAAGTAAATACTATTATATATCTTTGAAATATTTTTTGTTTGCATTTATTTACTTTACACTTTTATTATATTATATGTATATGTGTATATATATATATATATATATATATATATATATATATATATATATATATATATATATATATATATATATATATATATATATATATATATATATATATATATATATAAAATTTAAGTGGCATCTTTAATAGTATGTGTAATTACAAGCATTAAAACATCATATATGGTATGATACTATATATTTATTTTTTTATTTTTATTTTTTTATTATAAGTGATATTTCGGCTCATATAGTGAGAGCCATTAGCAAACTAATAAAACCGTTTAAAAAAAACGTCAGATATTCAACATTTTTTAATTTTACAAAAAATGGTTTCCAATGGTGAGTCATCACCAAATTACCATTTTCGCGATTGAAAACATTTTCTTTAGATTTTAAACATTGTACACGTTGTATTTCAATAGCCTCACAAATTTTTCTGGTGTAGTTGTTTGAAATAATAGAAAGCGTTTTAGGGTTCTCCCCTAAAACGCTTTCTATTATTTAGGGTTCTTCAATGTAGTGAGTGTTCTACTATTCCTGATGTTTCCCAGTTGGCTTTTGTAACATTATTTTTATGTTTTTGAGTTTGTGTGGAAATCTTTTTTCTCGTTTCACCAATATAACATGCACCACATGTGCAATTAGTTGGTACACTCCTGGATGACTATTCTGAGGCAGTTTAGACTTGTTACGGCAAAGTATATTGATTAAGGGACTACCAAAACAGAAGACTGTTTTAATGCCGACTTTACAAAATTCTCTTCTAAGAACAACTAGATTTTTGGTATCAAATTTTTGAGAACAAGATGGATTTGTGGAGTATTTATAATTTTTAGTAATATCTGAATTCTGTTTATAGGAATGTCCATTTTCAGTAGAAATCTTAATAAGAAAATTAATTTCATCCGGAATGTTATGTTCTTAATAAATTTTGTATGCTCGAGCTAAAAAACCTTACAGCAATACTCGGTGAAATAGATGATTTTGGGTTTATAAGTACGTTTATAATTGCATCTTTACAGTGTATGGAAACTCATATTTGTGAAGAAAGTGATTGGTTGAAATACAAACATCTAAAAAATTTAATTGGTGTTGAGCATTTTCGTATTCACATGTATATTGGATAGATTTATCTTGTGAATTTAAAAGTATTAAAAAAGAATTTGCGTCATCAATATTAGTAAATCGAGCATGGCTATCATCAACGTAACATTTATAAGTTTTTGGTGCAATATTGACGTTTAGAGCCTGTTGATTAGCATTAGATTCAATATGTTGTAGATATGTTTTTGACAAAACGACCATTATGGATAGACCTGTTGGACCAGAGTTTTTTAAAATATATATTTTGTCTTCCTATAAAAATTTATTATGCATTATATATAATGCATTAGTAACTATTGCAATACGGACTTTCCATGTTATATTTAAAGATAAATTTTTAAAGTAATGATTAATATATTCCATTAAATTAGCATGAGCTATCTTTTTGATAGCTCATGCTAATTTAAATTCAATAACAGTAGATACAATACCACCTATAATTTTTTCTTTAAAGTTTGCTTCATTGCCTAAAATTTTCTTAAACATTCAATAACTGGAAATAAATCAAGTTTTCCTTGATCAGCAATATCATGAGCAAGAGCGTCTAACTTATCGAAAAATTGATTGGCATTGTTGCCATTAAATACCATGGTAACTTCTAAAAAATGTATAAATATATGATCTGAGTTAAACCATTGTTAAAAAACCAGGCCATAGTTTTTTTTTTTTTTCTAAAAGTTGTAACTATTTCAAATAATGCTTAGATAATGCTAAACTTAGATACTGGAGCTAAATTTTCTATAATTGCATCTTGGATTAATTACATTTTTATAATCATCTTTGATTTTGGTTTTCCAGCTTCTACATATTTACTGTGTGATAAACAAGGTAACCAAGAGTTCATTTTCACAATCCAAGACTCTCCTTAGCACCACAAAATCTATATTAGCATAGCTTGTAATGTCAAACATTGAGTTTGCACACTTTATATTAAATTCAACAGAATATTTTTGAAGATTAAGAGGATCAACTAAGTTCCTAAGATTTCCATTGTGTTTAGATATTTCTTCTACATTAGCAACAATAAAATAACACTTAACTCCAACATCATCAAGGTCAGGTTGGTTGTTAGTTTTATCATGCGGATTAAAAACATTCATAGTGGTCTTTAAAAAACCTTGAACAGAATCCACAGCAATCCTTGTGATTGTAGTAAGATGGTCAATATTTCTTTCAGTAGTAATAACATGTACAAATTCATCAATCAAAATCATCCTTTATATAAACTGTTGATTTCTATAAACATATATCCTTTATATTAACCATTGATTTATTTACTAAATTGCCAGCTTCAAAAAATTATTCTTCTTTACATAAAAAATATTCATTTATTTCAGCTTTTAAATCCTCTAATTTTTCAATTATATTTCCTTTAATGCTACTTAAAAACCCAATACACTTTTTAAATATAGAACACCTTTTTTTTGTTTATTCTGGCATAGTTCTAAATATTTTATAAGCTCCATTAATTGTTCCAAAAGACGCTTGATTTAGACTTGCACATTCACCTTAGCCACTTATTAAGGTATTTTGTATCATTTTTTCTAAACAATAAAGGTTTTTACAGCATCTGCTGCAAATAACTCCAGTATGGTTTTTTAGTTTGCTTCTGATCATAGATATTTCAAATGAAATTTTCCATTTTTTCTTCAATAGCTTTGGTTATTTATGAAGTTGCTGACTTTTTACAAAAGGTTTTCTCTATTTAATCTCCTAAGTCCACTCTTAAGTTATTGTGCACCAGAGTATGTTTAAAAATAAAAAATGCTGGCAAATTAAAGCTAATTTGTTGAAAATGGCAAATAATTTATATAATTTAAAATTGTTAATTTTATTTTTTAAATTTTATACATTTTTCCACTTCACTGGGGTTTTAAGTAATCAAATTTTTATTATCCTGTATGTAGCTAAGTATATAAAATAAAATCTGATGTAGGGATATTTCAAACTTGACTGTCTGATGGAAGGATATTTCAAACTTGACAGTCTGATGTAGGAATATTTCAAACTTGACAGTCTGATGGAGGGATATTTCAAACTTGACAGTCTGATGTAGGAATATTTCAAACTTGATAGTTGTTTCACAGTTTAAAATATGTTTACTTAAAGACATGACTGAAAGTATTTAAAAAGTTTTAATTGAAGAAATTTTTTAATTGAAAAAAAAATTTTAAAACTTTAGATGAAATTTTTAATTGAAGAAATTATTAAAAGAAATATAAAAGTTTTAAAAATAATAAATGAAGATAAAACGTTATTTTTTTCATGAAAACTTTTACACCAGAATAAGAAAGGCAATCACAATTCAAATACTTTCACAATTGCTTCAAATACTTTCAAAATTACTACCTTTGTACCATTGTAATTTGCAATCACTTAATTCACCCCTTGATAAGTCCTTTCATTGATGTAGCTTGCATGATAATTGATCGTACTTGGATGGTACTGTTATAGAATTATTAGGGAATTTTTCTCCTTCTGAATATCAAATTTGCTTTGCACATGCAATACATTTAACTGTTGTTGGTGTAGTTTATAAAAAAATAAAAGTTAAAAATAATAATCAGAGTCCTCATGATGAAGATATTGAAGATGATTTTGATGTTTTTGATAATGATTGTGAGAAAGACAATGAAATTAGTGATCAAACTCCTTATCTTGTTCCTGATCAGGTTCTGGTTAAAGGTCAAGAGTTTTATCTTTTAAAAGATCTCCTTTAAATTGATATTAGTACTCATTTTGGATTAGGATTAGGAGGTAGTTAAAAATTTAGCCTAAAGTTTGGAACCAATTGTATTAGGCTTTTAAATAATTTGAACCAATTGTATTAGGCTTTTAAATAATTTGAACCAGTTGTATTAGGCTTTTAAATAATTTGAACCAATTGTATTAGGCTTTTAAATAATTTGAACCAATTGTATTAGGCTTTTAAATGATTTGTAGAAGGGTAGCAACTTTAAAAATATCACATTGAAATTTAAACAATTAGATGTTCAAGATTGCTATTTTGAAAAGGATCTTAAAAATGATATTATTGAAAGAATATGTCAAAAAAGTAAAAAAAGGATAATCTATGATCTCTAAAAAATGATTAGGTAGCAACCTTTTTTGCATACCATCTAAAACAGTGATAGTAAATTTAATTATTAAAATAATTTGATAATGATAATTAGATAGTTAATAATATTAACATCAATTTAAATCAATCTGAAAATATGACTAAAAGATAAGAAGAGTTTGTGATGAAAAAATTACAACTTTCAAATTACCTCCAATAAATCAATTATGCATCAAGAATTCAGTTTGTTTGAGGAGAATCTATGATCTCTAAAGAAACTAACAAAAAATTGAAGCTTATCAGTCAGACTAACAAACTTAACTAACTGCGTATGATATAAGTCTTTAATATTCTAAGCGACACTTTTTGGTTGCTTATTATATTCAACTGATCTTGAATGTAATCTCTCTTCTAGGACAGCTTGGGGCTTGCAATGGCTTGTGAATCTTAAATTCCTAAACATAAACTTCTTTTTTTGTTCAAAACATTCTGCACCAATATTGTTACCATCTTTTTGATTGATCCTATTATCTGTTAGCTCCTAATATTTCACTGTTTTTGTAGAGGTTTCTGAAGTTAGGAATTTCTACAAGTTTATTTTAACATTGCTATTTTTCTTTGATTTGCACAAATTTAATTTGCACACAAGTTAAAATATTTCAAGTTATTAGTTTTTTAAGTTATAAGAATGTCGACAGTTTTTTGATAGTTGTTTGCAGTAAATAACTGAGTTTTATTGAAGTTAAAATTCATATGCAAGCCCCAATCTGTTACTGAAATGAGAACAGACTCAAGATTGGCGGCGTGTTCTAAATTACTGAAAAAAGAAGGCTTTTTTTCAAGACAGGATGTTTTTCAAGACAGGACATTTTTCAAGTTATTAGTTTTTTAAGTTATAAGAATGTCGACAGTTTTTTGATAGTTGTTTGCAGTAAATAACTGAGTTTTATTGAAGTTAAAATTCATATGCAATAATCTGTTACTGAAATGAGAACAGACTCAAGATTGGCGGCCTGTTCTAAATTATTGAAAAAAGAAGGCTTTTTTTCAAGACAGGATAATAAACTTGAGTCATCAGCAAATAGAGCCACTTCTCAAAAATCTTAAAAACTTATCCAGATACACCATATGAAGCAAGCTTATGAAGAAGACCAGCATGCCAAACTTTGTCAAAAACTTTAGATATGTCAAGAGCAATAGCTCTAGCCTCTCTGCCTCCATCTAATGCATGATAAAATCTTTCAGTCACAGCAGTTAGCAAGTCAGCCATAGAGCAAGAGGATCGAAAGTCCTATTGATTGTCTAACAGTATTTTATTTGACTCAAGATAAGGTGTAAAAAATTTGTTCATCGAACACTTAAAGAACTTGCAAATAACTAAAAGAAAACTGATTAGACGATAATTGAAGGGGTCAGAATGTTCACTGGAGTTTGTGAAATTTGAAACAACAGATGCCATTTTCCAGCAAGCAGGAAAACAAAACTCAGTTAAGCACTTATTAAATAGTTTAAAGAGAATTGAGAAGAGTTCTGGAGAACACTTTTGTAAGACTATGACAGGAATGTTGTCTGAACCAAAACCCATAGCAGAGTTTAATTGAAATTTGACTCTATCAAAAAAAGCTGGAGTGATTTGAATGTCTAACAATAGATTAACCTATTTAATTGTTGCCATATCTGGGGCGGATCTTCTAATGATGTCCTTTCTCTTTTAGACAAGGTGCAAAAACGCATTGTAAACATAGTTGGACCTGCTCTTGCACCCAACCTTCAACCTTTGTCACATCGTTGAATGTTGCTTCTCTTTCTCTTTTCTACAAATACTATAATGGGCACTGCTCTAAAGAGCTAACGTCTCTTGTGCCATCTACTAAAATTCATTCTCATGTTACTGGTCATTCAATTAAGTCTCATCCCTTTTCTGTTACTGTTCTTAAGTGCTCCAAAAATTCTTACTCATCCAGTTTTTTTCCTTGAACATCAGTTCTTTGGAACTCGCTTCCTTCATCTTGCTTTCCCGATTCATATAATTTTTTATCTTTAAAGTTGTCTGTCAATCATTATCTTGCTCTACAATTTTCATCTTTTCTCTTCCAGTAACTTCCAACACTAATTAGTGGTTGCTTGCGTCCTTGTTGGAAGCAAAGATGTTTAAAAAAAAATAAAAAATTGAAATGAATTGAAGAAAATCAAATGAAGAAAATCACAAAAAGAATCTTAGTCAGCTTTAGGGTAGAAGTAAGTAGTGTGATGATAGGATGAGTCAGAGGAAGTAGTTCGAGATAAAAGGTTCATTGAATGATCAGAACCACCTGAGGTAGAAAAGGAGAAACTGAGCATAAGCTAGGGTCAGAGAAAATGATTCTTAAAGTTAAACTACCTGAGTAAGAGAATGAGATATGCAGAAGTTATAGGCTTTAGTGCTAGCAAGGTCAGTGGTGTTAGAGCTAAACCATTCAGTGTGATGAGCATTAAAATAACCAATAGCAACATTATTGACAGAGGGGTAAAGAGAAAGGGTATGGTCAATTTGATCAGAAATTACATCTAAAAGAGTGCAGTTTTGAGAAGAAGGAGAATGATAAAGATCAAAGAGAACAGTGATAGAGTAAAGAGGTGCTTGGCGGAAGCATATAAATGAATGATCAAGGGATTCAAATCTGATTTCTTGACAAATAAGTGAATTGATGTGAAATTATACATCCAAGCCAAACATGCAACAGAGTCTTTGCTAAGTTAAAAGTATTATCCATCAATACTGAGATCTGAAACAGGAACAGCCATATTTAAATAAGTCTCACAAAGAGCAAGTAAGTGAATTTTGCAAGATTCAACTGATGGAAGGTTATTTTTCATACCACGAATATTTGTAAAAGATATATTGAAACAGTTAGGTGGTGGGGATTGTTTTTATCTTTAATATTTTGGTTTACTTTATTCATAGATAGACCACAGTCTCAGTTCGATTAATTAACCCAAAGTTGTAATGTAGGGCTCCTTATGTGGCCTTGACAATGCAGACCAATCCAGGGACACCATCCATGTGCAACATGGCATTGTTAATACTCTAATATTTTTCAGATGTTGGTGGAATTAGCCTTTCTTAGAGCTACCACAGAGTTCAGGAAACCTGACTACCAGCCAGCCTCATAACCATTAAACTGAATTTTAGAGTTATAACCTTAATAGGAGATAACAGAATTCTATGAGTAGAGTCAAGAAGATCCAGAATTCGTCATCCTAGGTAGGAAACAACAAAGACAGGTTTACATCTATAGCAGCCTAATAGATGAAGAAGGGGTTTGAGGCTGGTCAACAGAATTATTCTGCTTACCTCATCCTAAATCTCTGCCTAAGAGGCCTTTTTTAAGACATTAACTGGATGCAGTTAACATCTGCCCTAGTAGAGTGTTTTTATTGAGACACCATCTCTAGCCTTTACTCAACAGAAGGAGATTTTCAAGTTGAAGTTTGTTTCTCCTAGCCTTTGTCTAAAAATGCTAATCCTACAAAACAGCAAGACATGGGACAGGTAGGAATAGGTTGCATGATACCAGTAACAGGGTGATAGTGATGATCCTGAACCTGACTTGGAGTATTCAAAAGGAATTACTTCCTGTTAGCAGTAGTTTAAAACATTGATGGGAAATGCATTAGGAAAAGATCATACATCTAATAAAATACTAGAAATTGGTAAGCATAGGTTTTTTAGTTGGAGTCACTAGTTGGTCACTGAGCTTGCACTGCATCTGAGATTTAAACTGCGTGAAAACCCTGCCAGAGGTTCAGACAGGACACAAATGCAGTAGTGAATAACTAATTTTATATTTATTTTAGCTAATTTCTTTTTCTTCAGCACAATAACATGAATTGTAAAGTAATTACGTGCCATAACTTGTTTACACATTTAAAATTAAAACTGTTGTTTGGTTACTAACTAAACATTAGACTAAACTAACTAAACATTAGAAATGAATTAAAACTTATTACAAAACTCCATTTAAAGACAGCAGTATATATCAAAAATTTATTTTTTCGATAGATTAAACAATTTCAAAATACTCTTTAGTATTTTGAAATTGTTATTTTTTGAACTGTTAATCTTAAATTTGCTATTTTATTTTACTTTAGGAAAACACACATTTTTTTCATATTCTTTTTGACTTGAATAATAAATGTAACGATTACAATAACTAAATAAAAGTTTCGTTAGGTTTTAGTTATTTAAAAACTTTTATATTTTTTTATATGCTTATTAAATACTTTGTATTATTAAATGTTTTGTATTAAAATTGCTTTGTATTATTAAAATTTTAAATATGCTTTGTATTATTAAATGTTTTGTATTAAAAAATTTGTTGTCCATATAATGTATTTTATTATATGCAGACAATATATTTGTATCTTTCTGTTGTGTGTATCTTATGTTGTGTTAAATAATCAGAATCTTTGTGTTGTGTGTTTTATGTTGTGTTGTGTGTATAGTTTTATGTTGTGTTGTGTGTTTTATGTTGCGTTGTGTGTATAGTTTTATATTGTGTTGTGTGTATAGTTTTATGTTGTGTTGTGTGTATAGTTTTATGTTGTGTTGTGTGTATAGTTTTATGTTGTGTTGTGTGTATAGTTTTATGTTGTGTTGTGTGTATAGTTTTATGTTATGTTGTGTGTATAGTTTTATGTTGTGTTGTGTGTATAGTTTTATGTTGTGTTGTGTGTATAGTTTTATGTTGTGTTGTGTGTATAGTTTTATGTTGTGTTGTGTGTATAGTTTTATGTTGTGTTGTGTGTATAGTTTTATGTTGTGTTGTGTGTATAGTTTTATGTTGTGTTGTGTGTATAGTTTTATGTTGTGTTGTGTGTATAGTTTTATGTTGTGTTGTGTGCATAGTCTTAGTATTAGATTGTCAGGGAATTAATGCATTAAAATCTAATTTTGTTAATTTTTTGTTTGAATTCTCTTCCTCCTAAGTCTTTGCGAAGGTGTGAAAGGTAATTGTGGTTTGTAATAAACTTAATTTGAGCCCTGGTAAATAAGTAGCGGTGGAGTGTAGTCATTGTGTTGTACAATAATCTATAATTGTGTAAAAAAATAACAAAATGGTTTCTAAAACATGGTTTCTTAAAATTGATTTCTTGTAGGAAAGGCTCTTACAATTAATTGCTCCAAACATTCCACTTAACTTGTATCATAAAAGCGGAAAGGTAAAAAAAGAATATGTTCTAATTTAATGATTTATATTTTTAAAAAATAATGGTAAACTTGTTATGATATCATTTTCTTAATTTAGGTTTATACATTTTTATTCAATGTGGATTCAGAGTGTCAAGCATGGACTGAGGCATTGCGACCACGAATAAAACGAAGTAATTATTAAAAATTAGTTATATAAAATATATTAAATTTTTAAAAATATGAGTTAATTAAATGTGGTATTAACAATTTAACAGTTTTTTATAACTTACAAAACTTGTTGTTTTATTGTTTTTATTTAGTGCAAGTTCAAAGCAATGAATCTATTCATATGAGCAGCTTAGAACTTCAACAAGCACTAGAAACTGTTCTAAAGGTGTAATTAACTTTCTTTTAATCTTTTGGTGCCACTTGTATATATGTATATAAAACCTGTATATAAAATGTATATATTAATTTATTAGCAGTTTGTTTATATATATATATATATATATATATATATATATATATATATATATATATATATATATATATATATATATATATATATATATATATATATATATATATATATATATTATATATATTATTAGCAGTTTGTTTATATATATATATATATATATATATATATATATATATATATATATATATATAAAAATTTATACACGGTCAATTTATATATGGTCAATAACGGATGCTACTTTGGATTAGTCTTAATGACTATTTGTGGCTATTCCTATGCTAAGCCAACAATATCTTCGGATATAACAACATTGTATAGAAAAATATAGCATGAAAACTCAAATAAATAAAAATAAATAAAAAAAAAAATATATATATATATATATAAAACCTGTATATAAAAAGAATATATATATACTTATTAGTAATTTGTTTTTATATATATATATTTATTAGCAGTTTAGCAGTTTGTTAGCATTAATGGTTACAAATCAAATAACAAACATATAGTTTGTGGTTTTCCCCAGGGTTCTGTTCTTGGCCCTTTATTGCTTTTGATTTATATTAATAATCTAAATAACTCTGTCCAATTCTCATCAGTCCATCTGTTTCCTGATGATGATAAATTTAAATAAATTCTAAAAAAAATTTAACTTTAATTTTTTATTATTATTAACTTTATTTAGTTTTCTTCTTCTTCTTCTTCTTCTTTTTTTTTTTTAAAGAAATTTCTAGAAATTTCTAGAAATTTTATTGTTTTTGTCATTAATATTTCTTGTTATTGTTTGTTGCTGTTGTTGTTGTTATTTATTTTCTAAATGAAATAAGTGTTTTCATGATTTTTCATAAAAGTATTTGATGAACTAAAAAAAATTGTTGCCATTTAAAAAAAAACGTTTTTTTTTTTGGCAAGTGCTTTATGCTGTCACCAAAGTTTTTGCTGGCAAGTGGGTAAGCACGAAAGTGCTTTCCGAGGGTAGAAGACTAATATATTTCATTTTTAGTCTGAATTATTTGAATAAAGCAAAATCAAGAAACTTCCATTGCATGTGTTTTGTTTTTTTAGTTTTTTAAATTTAATACTTATTAATAATCATCTATATTGACTGTTCTTCATGTAAACAAACAAATGCGAAACATGCATATTGCAAAAAATGCTGTTACACCATTTTTTGTGTTTTTACAATGTACATGGTTTTTTTTATAAGTATCTGATATTTAAAAAAAAAATGTTTAACATTAATACCACCAGCTTGAATTAAAAACAATATTTACAAGATATCTACTTTACAACAAGAGTTCTACTTATAAGATTATGCTAAGATAATAAAAAGAAAAATGCATATGAAACCTAACCATACATAAAAAAATTTGTTTTGCAATGACTTCTTATGCAATGACTTATATAATTTTTTTCAAAAAATTGTAAATGCTGAGTAAATACTGAGAAAAATACTGAGAAAATACTAAATACTGAGAAAAATACTGAGAAAATACTAAATACTGAGAAAAATACTGAGAAAAAATATTATGCTCTTTATATGCTTATTTTTTCACAAGCTTTTTTTTTTCACCTACTTTATTGTAGGAGTGGGTTAAATAGCTAAGGGAAGTAGATACAATGGTAAAAGTTCATAGATTGTTTTAATTGAGGAGATAGGCGGATATATGTTCAAATTAGAGCAGATTGGGGGAATGGTCATTAGATTTGGGGGTGGGGTTAAGGTTGTAACTTTCTTTTTATATTTTTTAAGATTTATTTCTCAATCATGGAATTTGGAACGTCTTGCTTACAAAGCTAGCGCTCTATCGCTCTATCTCATTGGTTGATTTTATTAGTCATATATATAAGTCATGTAAGTTCAAACTATTTTAACAATGGCATCTCATATATAACAATGGGAATATTAATTTAATAAACAAAATTTGATAAAGATGAAATTAAATGAATAGGCAAGATAGATGGTTTGTTTAAGTTCAGTTTCAATTGAGAATATAAGATTCAAAATCTATGAAAATGTTTGCAATGCAAATTTATAAAAACTTTTTTCTGGCTTTCTATGCCGTTATCATATTTTAGAGTTATACATTGGGTCATTTTGAAAAACTTTATTTCCAAAACAGACAACATCTGGTGTGTGTATACATTTTAAAATTATTAAAATCAAATTGTTTCACTAGATCAACTTTCAATAGGTTCCTTGGATATTCAAAAGTCTTTCTTAAAAAATGGAAATGAAAATCACATTTACTTTTAAAAAGTACAATTTAAGTATCACAGGTATGCTGCAGAATTTTTCAACAGGCAATCTTAATCTTTTTTCACTTTAAAATTCTGATGTTGGAATTTTCAAAATTCTGATGTTGACTGAATTTTAGGCTTAAAATGATAATAATTGAATCAAACTCAACAGCACTTTTATCTGTTTTTTAAATAGTTTTTATTATTATGATCATGTTTTTTGCAAACATTTGCAATTTTCATTTTTGACCTGCCATAATATATATATAAATATATATATATATATATATATATATATATATATATATATATATATATATATATATATATATATATATATATATATATATATATATATATATATATATATATATATATATATATATATATATACTATGGCATATATATATATATATATATATATATATATATATATATATATATATATATATATATATATATGTATATGTATATGTATATATATATATATATTATAAAATATATTGAAAAATTATTTTAGTATTAAAACTTTTTCAGGGTATATTTTTCAGGTATATGTGATCGTTCAGGGTACATTTTTCAGGTATATAAGATCGTTTGTGACAGGAGGGAAAGGGTTAAAAATTGACAAAGATTAGGGTGGCATGCTTTATAGATGACCCATAGTAGCATTTACAAACAATTTGTTTTACTAAAACAAAAACAAAAAAAATTTTAACTGATTATTTTTATATTAGCGATTAAGTCCTTTTTTTTAATGTCTAAATACAAATATTTATATAATTCTTATTTTTTATTTATTTATGTATATTTATGTCAAATAAAAAAAGAATACATAAATAAGTAAGAAATAATAAAAATAATTTTAATTAACATTAAAAAAAGTGAAAGATTTTTTTCTAAATTCTCCTAATATAAGAAGTTCCAGTTAAAACCTTGTCAACGAATTAATAATTTCTTAATGACGTAATTCATTTTGTTAACAAAAAAAGCGCCAGAACTTAAGAAAATGTTTGTAGTTTTAACTTATGTTACATAAATTTAAAATAAAAATGTGCTCTAACTAAGCATCCTTATTCAAAACTTTAAATACAAAAACCTAGCATTTAATGTTCTTTTGCATATATTATTAAAAAACTTTTTTAGCTAAATTTTATAAAAAACAAAACTTTATCATATTTTTTTTTTAACTTACGTTACATGAAAATTGCTAAAGCTCATACGTTATTTTCTTAAAATATATATGTTTTATAAAGTATAAAATCTGACCACCAACAATTTGAACATGTTAGCTCCATTTTCACACTAATTTAATCCTGATTATGCAAATAAATTCATGGTTAGAATAACATTTTACAATGATACCTGTTTTATCATGCGACAATGATAAAAACCATAACTTTCTGAAGCATTAAAATGACTTAAATTAATTTTAGTATTAAAGATATATTTTAAATAAACATTTATGTGTCTACATCAATATTCATTTGCTAAAAGTTGACGAAAAAGAGAATAAAGTTTGACTACTTTTTCATTTTCCGCCATGGAATTGCCCATATATATATATATATATATATATATATATATATATATATATATATATATATATATATATATATATATATATATATATATATATATATATATATATATATATATATATATATGCTACAATATAATGAGCAAAATATCCAAAATAAAACAATTATCACACAAAGACTTGTGCACCATAGTATGTTCACTAATATTTACACAGCTAGGCTATTGCAATTTCCTCTACCTTAGAATTGAAAAGACACTATTAAAAGTCTGTTCAAAATTGTGCAGCAAGACTAATATTTAAAACCAGAATAGAAAATCAAGTAAATGACTAGGAATTTAACAAGTTGCATTGGCTTAAAATTAAAGAAGAAAGTATTTCAAGGTCCTTTTAACAATGCACAGATCTATTTTCCTGGAAGCACCAACGTCATTATGCAATTTAATTCACTACTCAATGTCAGAAAGAACTCTAAAATTAAAGGAAACAAAATGCAGTAATCATTTTGGTAATTGAACATTATCCCACTATGGTCCTAAACTTTGGAATATACTTCCAAGTACTATCCGTGATGAAAAAAACACTATTTATAAGAAAAAACTAAAATCTTATGTAATGGTAAATGGTGAACTATTCCGTCTGAAAACTCTTGAATAATAAAAATTTTACTAATGATTTGTTGCACACCTGAACACACCTGAGTACCAACTTATCCATTATTCTTGCAAAACACAGTAGCTGTGGGTAAACCTGTGTTTAATTTTAAATTACATTGAGATATAATAGATTTTGAAACTCGAATTTTGAAAATGTAATAAAAATGTAGTTAAAGCAATTATCACTATTTTTAATTTGAAACGTGATTTGTTTTATTCAATTTGAAGCATGGTTTATTATTTTCCATTTAAAACATGATTTGTTATTTTACCTTTAAAACATAATTTTATAATAGTTTATTATGAATACAAGATATTTTTACAAGATTATTATTAATACTAGATAAAAGTTATTTTTTACAAATTAGCTACACAAAGTTTTTCTTTTTCTTTTTTAAATGAATAAGAAAACAATTTGTAAAAAAATTTTCTTTTATTTGAATTTTTTTTAAAACCCATATGAATTCAGCATCTCTAATTAAATTGAGACTTTTCCACAATAACACAAAGAGGATAAATTAAAAATTGATTGGTTTGTCTATACTAACTCTAATAAATAACTCAACAAATTATATTGAAAAATTAAGAGTTATTACTTTTGCAAGAAAATTATTATTTACATTATTATTTTATAGTTATAATTAGTGATTAGTTAATAATTATATTTTAATTAATTTTAATATTATATATAATATATATTTGTATAATATATTAGTTGTTATTTATGATAAATTTTTGTTTATTTTTTGGTTGTATTTGTATGATTGGTTTAATTTTCAGCATTTATCTTTAGGTTCAACGTCTTGGTATAGTTCCAAGTACATCATCACCATTTATTGGATCAGCTAATATAAGACCTTTAAGTGTGGACTTTTCAACATTTGATGGTAACTAAGTCTTTTTGTTTTTCAACATAGTAACTGTTTTAAATCTTTTTATTATAACATGTTGAACATTTTGATACAAGAGTTTTTGAAAATTGAGGAAAAAAAAAGTAGCTAATACTTTACTGATTTGTTTAAACTTTTAATTTACTTTTTTTAAAAGATTTTGGAGTAAATTACAAAATTTTATGTAATATCTATGAAAATCTTGAATATGTATCTCTAGGAATTCATACATTATTTATTTCTTATATCAAATATTTAATTATTAAACTCAAAAGTGGTTTGTTAAACTCATATGTTTAATTACTCTTTTGTTTTTTGTATATATTATCCAAATATTTGCATAATAAAACAAAATATTAAAATTAGTGGTTGTGCTTATAAAAAAATATAATTTTAATGCTAGGTTACAGTTTTCTTGATTTCTTATTAAATATTTCTATTTTTTTTGTAATAAATACATTTTTAAACTTTGATTTTTAAATATTACATCACTTTTAAGTATAGCACTTTAAATACTATTAAGTATTGAAAGTATATTAAATATTATATAAATAAATTTAAACATTAATTTAAGTCACTATTGCACTTATTTCATAAATATTTTAATTGTATACATCAGTTTAGCACATACTTTTTGTATCAACTTAAATATTTGTGAAAAATGTAAACAATCTTGAAATAACATTTCCTAAAAATATGTTAAAATGCCAAATAAACAAAAAAAAATTCAAAAAATGTTTTTTCTTTATCAAAAAACAAACTAGAATTAAAAAAAATATCTGGTGAAATAAAAATAGCATGGGTGGAGGAGGGGGTACTTTAATTAAAGTTACTAAAATTTATATACTTAATTCCTTTATTAAAAAAAAATTCATGTTGATTTTTCTTTCTTTTCTTTTCTTTTCTTTTTTTATTCAACTAATCTTTTTCAACTAAATCAAATTGTTTGTATTTTTCAAAAAGCTGGTTTTAAGAAAAAAGGAAAACATGTGTTTTTTTTAAACCATATGCTGTTCTTTTTTATGAATGAAAGTCTTGTTTAATGATTTTTTTGTTGATGTTTTAGTGAAGTTGATGTGAACTTTATTTTATTATAAACTTGTTTGAGTTTATATCTTTGTTTGTTTTTGTTTTTTTCTCTAAATTTTTTCTTTCAAAATAAAAATATAGAAATAAAATAGTTAAAAACTTTTTTTTAAGCAATAAATTTTTCGAATATAAATAAATTTAATTTTTAAAAGATAAAAATATTTTTTTTAAATAAAATTTTTTCATGAAAAGTATTAAGTATAAATTGTAGTATAAATATGTATAAATATGTGTATAAATTAGTATAAATATGTGTGTGTGTGTGTGTGTGTGTGTATATATAAATATGTATATATATGTGTGTGTGTGTGTATATATATATATATATATATATATATATATATATATATATATATATATATATATATATATATATATATATATATATATATATATATATATATATATATATATATATATATGTATATGTATATATATATATGTGGGTGTGTATATATATACACACACACATATATATACATATATACACATACAAATATACATACATATATATGTGTGTATATATGTATAAACACATATATACATATATATACATACATATATATGCATGTGTATGTACCTATATATATACACACACATTTATATATATATATAAACACATATATATAATATATATATATATATATATATATATATATATATATATATATATATATATATATATATATATATATATATATATATATATATATATATATATATATGTATATGTATATATATATGTGGGTGTGTATATATATACACACACACATATATATACATATATACACATACAAATATACATACATATATATGTGTGTATATATGTATAAACACATATATACATATATATACATACATATATATGCATGTGTATGTACCTATATATATACACACACATTTATATATATATATAAACACATATATATAATATATATATATATATATATATATATATATATATATATATATATATATATATATATATATATATATATATATATATATATGTATATATATATATATATATATATATATATATATATATATATATATATGTAACATATATATGTATATATATAACATATATGCATATATAAACATATATTTATATAAGATATATATATATATATAAATGCATATATATATATATATATTTATATATATATATATTTATATATATATATATTTATATATATATATATGCATAAATATATATTTATATAACATATATATATATATATATGCATATATATGTATATATATATGCATATATATATATGTTATATATATGCATAAATATATATTTATATAACATATATATATATATACATATATATATATATATATATATATATATATATATATATATATATATATATATATATATATATATATATATATATATATATATATATATGCATATATATATATATATGCATATATATATATATATATATATATATATATATATATATATATATATATATATATATGTTTGTATACATACATACGAAAAAATTGTTTTACATTTTAAAAAACTGTTTCACTTTTTAATACTAGTTTAAAATGGCAACAGTGACAAGAAAAATTAGTAGACAAGATTTTTTATACAATGAGTTGCCAGAAAGTTATAAATCTTATCCTAAGTCTCGCTTGCCCATACCAGTTAAAAAAAAGCTGATACGACAAGATCATTTTACTTATAGATGTAAAATGTGTGGTGTAAATCATTTTGATCCAACAAATGCAAAACGTGTTTGTGATGTTGGCTTAGGATATTATAATTCTTCAGAGTTTAGAGACTCTGTACCAGTAAAAAGGCAAAGTAAAGTAAATCGGTTATGTTATGCAAATCCCGTTAGGTATTTGGAGTCGTCAAAAGTTCACTTTAAGTCGGTTTGTGAAAATTTGCATGCTATGTCATCTGAAAGTTTTGAAATGGATTATGATTCATATGAGTATAAAAGTGAAGATGCTATTGATGATGCACCTATCGATGGTGGTGATGCACCTATCGATGTACTGAGTCATGAAAATATAATGCAAAAACTAAATGATGCTTTTGAAGATCAAAATCTTGAGAAAAAAATTACTCATTTGGAAAGTTCTTATTTTGAAAAACACTGCAAGTGTGATAGCTTATATTTAAATAAATATGAAAAAGAACCTAGTGATATCACTCATGAAAATGAAGTTGAAGATTTTGAGAAAAACTCTGTTTATTTACATAGCAATTTTAAAAAACATTTACAAAGCACAAGACAACTTTCTAAAAATTTAATTTTACCTCTGCAGATTGAACACGATGTTGCAAAAAAACTTTATAATACAAGCAAGAGTCAAGGAGCTACTCCTGTTGAAAATTTAAAAAGGTCATTGTCTCAAATTGAACTTAAGCAAAAAAGCAGACTTCCTAGATGGGGCTCATCAACTATTAAAAAGTTTGCCAGTTTGCCAACACCATCTAGTGAAATAAACAATAACAAGTTTTCTTCATCGTGTTCTACTACGCCATTACAATCTCCTTGTATGGAACAGTCAAAACGTGGAATGAGATTATTCAGTGTTTTATATTCTCCAAAAAAAAGTTCTAAATCATTGTCTTCCCCAAAAAATTCTCATAAAGATGAGTGGAAGGCCTCTCAGAAATATCTTTTTGAGTGTGATGGTAAGTTATTTATCTTTTTGATGGTAAGTCAAGAATCTCTTTATGTGTGATGATGAGTCAAGTATCTTTTTGAATGCAATAGTTAAATATTATAACTATTTATTTATTTTTACAAACTTCATATCAACATATAAAAAAGTTTTCAAACAATTTATGTACTAGATACCCTATATAATATCAGAATATAAAAGACTTTATGTTTTGCTGGGAAAGTTGCTAATGTATAAATTTAACAGTATATCTGCATAAATCCAAACTAAATGATTGTTTAAGCTTTCATATATACACTAAATAATATTACAAACATAGTTTCAAGTACAAAAATCAAATGTTGTCTATAATTTGCTTTAAAAATAATTAAACTACACACTGACATCAGTTTGCACTTATGCAGATTACTTATATGCAACCGAGTAAATGTGTAGTTTTGATGAGTTCACACTTTCACAAGTGTTTATAAAATCTTTCTTTCAGGGTACTTTCTGCACAAGTTTCTACAACTATTTCAAACATACAGATTTGTATTTGCTCAAGTTCATAGTTATGTTAGTATTTATATAATTGTTTGCTACACCTATGTTGGTATTAATGCTTACCCGGGTTTGCCTTTTAGCCAAAATTTCAATTACAGTGTTTGCATAGAAGTCTATTTACGGATTTAAAATTTGAAAAGTTATCCAACTGGTTATCTATGAAAGATTTTTAATTGTCATATAGTCGATATGGCAAATATTTCTTTATAATGCTCAATTTTGAAAATTGCTATTATTAAAACATGGTGGTTACAAGCATGGTGGTTACATTCTTTTGGTTTACTATGACTATTTTTTTTCAAAAATTTTTTTTAAGAAATATTATTAAAACAGCTATTTAAAAAAAGAAATTTAAGACTCCATTTTAAAATTTATATTTAAATTCTAGTTTAAGGCTATTTTCTTGAGTTACAGCTAAAAAAAAATTAAAAATAAAACACTGTTTTTCTCAGTTTAAACATTTTGTTTGAAGGAGGTTTGATATAGCTTATACAGTGGGTGGCCAAATTAGTTACACTATTTAAAATTATGATATTTCTCATTATAAACTACTTTATATATTCTTATATTAAATACTTGTGGTAATATTAGTGTTTCTAGGTTAAATAAGTTTGTTTTTTTTTAAATAAAATCATTATTATTTTTAACCATTTATTTAAGAAAGTTGATAATTCAAAAATGTCTTTAATATTTTGGGCCTTTTGTTGTAACAATTCTTTTATCCTTCTTGGCATACTTCGGATGGAATTCTTTATGTTTAATTTAGTTTCATTTACTTACGCTAGACATTAAATAGTTCTTTGAAACTTTTTTTGTAGGTTAAAGTTTTCTGCTTAATTTTCCATTTTAAAAGGTCCTAGATTTCAAATTAGGATTCATCTAAGAAACATACCTGAAATTAAAAAATAAATAAATAACTCTTATAAATGTCTTAATATTGTTACAATTAATATTTATACAAATATTTACTTAAGGCTATTTTCCACAAGATGAATCCCAATTTTTTTTGTTGATAAGCATGTGCAGATTAAACATTTTTGGCAATTATGTTGGTTTTTTTTCGCTACAGCGTTTCACTGCAGCAAAAAAAAAAAGTTGAATTCATTTCGACTTTTTGCGAATTGCCATAAGCGAAAACCAATCAAGTTTTGATTATTATATCACGTGATGTCAACAGTAGAAAAAAAGTGAAAACATGTTGTTTTTAAAGTAACAAAAAACAAACCTGGCGTTCTTGTTAATTTTATATGAACTTATTCTGAAAATTGGCAAGCATGAGTAAATTCATCAAACAAGGAGCAAGACTTATATAAAAAAATGACCAGACTTATATATAAAAAACTAAATCGAGAATTTACAAATATAAATTTTCACACTGTCAATTATGAAAGTTACACTTCATAAGAATGTTTATCTTCAAGTGGCTACACAAAGATAAACCTTTTTGTGAAAAACTCTACATAGAGTTAAACCTGCTGTTTGTTCTTGCAGTAACAGTTTTTAATAGAAATGTTCATATCAGAGTTTAGCATTTATTTTTTTATACTTTCTTGTAAAAAAAACCTTATATTAAATGATTATATTACAAAATGATATCACATCTTACATATGCTTATGCGGTAGTGGTGTAGTGGTAGAGCGCTCGCTTTATAAGCAAGAGGTTCTGAGTTCGATTCCCATCACGTTCCTGGTAGTACCGCTCAACTTGTTTCTCCGCGCAGCGGCCTTGTTCGTCAAGGTTCGTGTTTCGGAGTTATATAATAAAGACAGAAATGTTAATATTAATGCATGGAAAGAAATTTTCACATTCTTAAAAGTAAGCTAAAAAAGTAATAACTGCTTTTAGTTAACATACAGCGTAAACTTATTACTGCTTTTTTTATTGTTGACATCGAAAAAAAAGTAGCACGAAAGTGGAAATCAAAACAGCATTTTGTCCTAATGAAAAAATTCACTTTGCACAAATATTTTGTCTTATGGAAAACACCCTTTAAGTTTTCATAATATTTAGCAGACATTTTGTGCTTTTTCATGTTTTTTCCAACACAAATTTTACAAATTGTTCATTCGTCTCTTGTGATGCGTGATCCATTACACTTTTTACCTCAGCATTTAGTAGAGTAATTTTCTTATCAAATTTAAATTTGATTCTGTTTACTTTTATCACAGACACATTAACTAACTTTACAATCTGTCTGTGGGAGTTATTCTAATGTTTTAAAAGAGCAGATATAAAATATTTTTTTTGGTATATCTTTAAACCTTTTTTAGACACCAAAGTTCTAAATTTTAAAGTTCAAATCTAATCCAAGTTTTTAATTCAGAGTCACATAAACATAAAGCAAAAAAAGTTATTTTTTGAGCATATAAGCGTTTTTGAGCGTATTAGATTTTTGCATAAAATACGCAAAAAAAATTTACGAGTTTTTGCATAATCTAACTTAAAATGCTAAAAATGATGCCACAATTCTTTATAAATGTCCCAACTTCAAAAATGTTTAATAAACAAATATAAATATTTAAATATTAAGGAATGCAGGAGTAAAAATTAATGTGTTCATTAAAAATCCATGTTTAGTTGTAGTTTTAATAAAAGTGTAAAGTGTAACTAATAATTTGGCTATCCACTGTATATATATATATATACAAGCTTTGGCAGATATAAATGAGTGCGGGAGCTGTTTTTTTAATTCACGTGATTATAATGTCTGCTATCATTGATATTTTAATTTTTTTTTTTAAGATTCATAATGTCAATGAGTTTATCTTTTAAAAAATATATAGTTTTAGAATGCAAATTTGATGCCTTTCATGGTATAAAACTGTTTTTTGTGGTATTATATTTAGTTAAATTTTTGTGGTCCTGGCTAATTTATTGATAAATTTTGATATCTTAAAGATTTTTAAGTGCTTAAGCACTCTATTATTATCTATTTTTTTTACAGAATGCACTACAACATTTTACTTTTTTTACAGAATGCACTACAACATTTTACTTTTTTTACAGAATGCACTACAACATTTTACTTTTTTTACAGAATGCACTACAACATTTTACTTTTTTTACAGAATGCACTACAACATTTTACTTTTTTTACAGAATGCACTACAACATTTTACTTTTTTTACACTGCGAGTATTTTTAAGTCTTGATAAGTAATATATTAACTTTTTTTAAGGTATGAAATTTTTACAAATTTTTACTTTTTTACAAATACTAATGATGGCAGATACAAAGAAATACTTATGATGGCGGATACAAAGATAACGTGACAAAAGTCACATGATTTTTGTATCCGCCATCATTAATACTTCATTTTTTAAAAAAAAGAAATACAATCTCTATTAATTTATCTTTTTGAAAATATATAGTTATGGGGTGTAAATAAGATGCCTTTTATCCCTAATATATCATTTTCAATATAGTATTTTTATTTTTACTGTTTACAAATATTAAATATAGGTGCGAAAGAGTTAAAAGACCTTTGTTATTTAATGTTGATTTAAAAACCTCTTTAATTTAATGTCAGTTATTTAAAAAAATTCACTTGCTTAAAATGTTGTTAAAGCTGTTTAAATTTATTAGTTTGAAAAGCTTTAATATATTGAAATATGAAAATATAAGCTTATAGAGTTTATTTTGCAATCGTTCAATAGAGGTTGTTTTTCATTTTATATTTATAATACAACATATAAAAAGAGGAAAAAAAATGTATTTACTACAATTTTTTTATTGTAATCATTTTTAGAGCTTTTCAAAAAAACTTTATTCAGAAGTGATTAAACTTATAAACTTTATAAGTGGTTTACACAATTATAAAATCAAACTCAATCATTCAAAGTGTAATTATTAATGTTATTTCTTTCTGTCTTGTTCTCGATTTCTGTGCAAAAAGCAAAAGACGCAATAAAAATGCAAAGATCTTTAAAAAGATACTGTGTTATCTTTTAATGCATATAGTTCTTATAACTCATTTAGTAACCACTCAGAGTATATATGTATATATAAATCTTTTTTTAATTTTTTATTTATCAAATATGAAAGTATCTTTTTTGCCTATTGTAGTTTATAATCCGTAATAACTTGAAATTTTCTGTATCAAAATAATTTCTTGATTTTGTATTTTTGAAAAAGCCAAAGCTTGTGTAAACAAGTTAACAAGAGTGTAGGTGCAAACAAAAGAACAAAAAATCTCCCCATCATCGCCAAGCTTCGATATATATATATATATATATATATATATATATATATATATATATATATTGGTTTGCATATATCTTCAAGATTGTTCGATGAATTAAAGTAAATTAAGTTAAAACAGAGCTATATATATATATATATATATATATATATATATATATATATATATATATATAAGGGTGCGTCAAACGCCCCATACTTTCAAAAATTGATCTGTCCCTATTTTTAAAACTTTCTATTGGTACTCACAAGACACTCTGTTAAATTTTTTCAAAATTGAATGGGATTTAGGGGGGCCACCTCAAATCTGAAGCTTGCAATGAGACCCTAAACAGAAGAAAAAAAAGTTTTTCAAATGTATGTCATGTTGGGTCTCAAAAGAAGCGAAATTTTATAAAAAAAAATTTCAAAAACAGTAAAAATTTTACATAATTTTTATTATTATAAGTTTTATTGCATAAAAATTATTTTTTAACAAAAAATTAAAAAAAGCCATTTTTTCATGGTTTTTGGTCAAAATTTTTTTTCAAGGTATTTTTTTACAAAAAATCATAACTATTTTTGAAATTTTTATAAAGTTTCGCTTCTTTTGAGACGGAATATGACATACATTTGAAAAACTTTTTTTTCTTTTGTTTAGGGTCTCGTTGCAATTTTCAGACTTAATGTGGCCCCCCTAAATCTCATTCAATTTTGAAAAAATTTAACAGTGTCTCGTGAGAACCAACAGATAGTTTTAAGAATAGGGACAGATCAAGTTTTGAAAGTATAAGGCGTTTGATGCACCCTTAAACCTCATCTCATTCAATTTTGAAAAAATTTAACAGTGTCTCGTGAGAACCAACAGATAGTTTTAAGAATAGGGACAGATCAAGTTTTGAAAGTATAAGGCGTTTGATGCACCCAACAAAATTTATAGAAAATGTTGTAGTTTTTTAAAGTATCTTTTTTATTAAATTTTTTTTTTCGATTAGATAAAAACTCGCTTACTGGTTATTTGTATGTAAACATTAGCAATGGAAAAGGTTTCAATCGAAATTCAGGTTTGTTACTAACCTTATGTTTGTTACTAACCTTTTGTTTATTACTAACCTTATGTTTGTTATTAATCTTTTGTTTGTTACAAATGGTTTAACATGTTATGCAGATCAAGACCACCAATAGAAGGATTACCATCCAAGGCTTATGAGCCCCTCCTACCCCTACCCACAATTAGGCTAAGGATTTTATATTTTCTCTTGGTAAGTTGCTTTACCACGGCTATATTCACTGCTACAAACACTGCTATATAGCCTTTTTTGCTGCGATTATTTTAAATGATAAATAATAAGTTCTTTTTCTTAATGAATATTATATGCTTATAAATCTTCTGAACTCTATGAAATCTCTGTTTTAATATAAACTCTTTGGAATTCTATGAACTTTTTATTATGATATAAACTCTTTAAACTCTACATATAACTTATCAGATGTGCAATTTTTGAATCTTATTTTTTTATTTTATTAAAATTTTCTATGACTACCATGCAATATTTTTCTTGTACTAATTGTCACTAAACTTGTTAATCATTAGAGAACTAAACTGTTCCCCTAACATTTGATATGATATGCGGTAGTGGTGTAGTGGTAAGAGCGCTCGCTTTGTAAGCGAGAGGTTCGGAGTTCGAATTTTACCACGTCTCTGGAAGTACCGCGCTCAACTTAATTTTTTCGCGCAGCGATCTTGCTTGTCAAGGTTCGTATTTCGGAGTTAAAGAGTTGAGAGAGGGTTGTACCACGATTTACAACAAAAAAAAAAATTAAGAAATAAAAAAAAAAAAAATGAGTAGCCTCCTCGACTATGGTGGCCCCCTCGGGCCTTAGGGAGGTTAATAATTAAAAAAAAAAAAAAAAAACATTTTAATGTTATATAGAGAACAAAACTGCTTCTAACATTTTAATGTTATATAGAGAACTAAACTGTTTCCCTAACATTACAACATTATAAAGAGATGCATCTTTTGTAAAACTTGAACTATATAAGGTGTACATGCTGCACATGTCACATGCTGTAGCTATATAAAGCAATTATACACGCACTGTAGATATATTGTACCTAAACGAATCATTTTGTAGATATATTGTATCAATATAAAGATATCCATAAATATTCTGTAACAGAAAGATATTTTAATCTTATAAAAACATTACTTTAGATACATATGTTGTTTTGGAAATGGATAGTTATGGACATTATTTCAAAAAGGCTAAAACAAAGACTGCCAGGGGGTCTGATCCCCATTGGGATGAGGTAATATAAGTTTTAGAATGTTTTTTGATTTTTTAAAATGTTATCAAATTTTGCACCCTTTTTTTATATAAAACTTTCATGTCTTAAATTTTATGCTTATTATATTCTCTAGATATTTTTTATTTCAATTTATAAGGAATTTGATATGGAAATTGAGGCATGCACTTGTCTTCGTCTTACATGCTTCAATAAGCTAAGGCTCATGGGAGATGATATTTGTGGTAAATGCTCAATAAATGTGAGTTTTTTTAAATTTTCAGTTTTTTTTAAAAACATTAAAAATTTTTTGTCTTTAAAATGTTGTTTTAATTTTTTCTAACATTTAAAAAAAAAAAAAAAATTAACTAAAATTTCTTTCTCTATTTCTAGTTAATGAGAGAGAATTTAATGGATTACAAAACTCATTATCTTGTATTAAGTTTGGATAGAGGTCAATGTTCAATGAATGTATCCTTATCATTTGCCACTTCGATGGGTGGAATCAAAAAAACAAAATCTTTTTGTGAAACTGGAGTCTTTGGTGTACCAATCTCTGTTGTATGTAGGTAAAAAAAAAATTATTTTTTATTAGAATTAATAAACATATTAATAGAATTTTATACTACTGCTGATTTTTTGATATTTTCATTGTTTTTATTAACAACTTACATATGGGTTATTCCATATCAAATCACCTAAAGGCTCCCAGGGTACCACCTTAGAATTGCTTTAAATTTTGATCACACACAGATTTTATGAAAAAAATACGATCCAGAAAATTTCAGCTTGATTGACCAATTTGTTCAAAAGTTATGATTGAATTAGAAATTACCAAAATCCGAAAAATTTGTGTATCAGGAGCTTACAGCAGTTTTTTTCGATTTTTGACAAACCATAACCTTTTAAATAAAGATGGTGATCACCTGAAATTTTGTAGGGTAATAGTTTTTCACCCAAATAATCCATTATTGCAGTTGTTTTTGACTGATTTTTTACAGTTTTTGAGTTATTGTACCTTAAAGTTGCTAAATATTGCAACATTATAAATATTTTTTCGAACTTTAACGTGTTACAGTTTCATACTTACTTACAGAAAGTGGATTTTTTTGTTACCTTTTTGTACTTAGGGTCACTACATGTTAAAATAATCAAAATTATGCATTAAAAATTAATTTAGCACATGCAGCAGCCTATTGAAAAATCACTTTTTTTAAAAACTATAATAAATTACATTGACTTTGCTAGCATAGAAAGTAGCGTAAACAGTTGAAATAAATTATGAAACTTTTAAATGTTGAGGTTCTATATATAGACAATCACCAAAAAAAATTTAAAGACCTATACTCTATCTTATGACATGATTGTAGCCTTTTGAGAGTGATGATATTTTTAAAAGGAGAACAAAAAAAATACCACTTACCACATGCAAAATTTTTACCTTAAATTTTATACAAACTATACTGTAAGAAAGTGCATTCAAAGAGTAAGATAAGTCAGTTAAAAGAAAAAGTATTATACATGAAACTAATTAGCTTATCTCTGATTTATGTAACTCATAATAGTGTCATAGTCATTACTAGCAAGAATAAAGTCACGGCACTTATATCACTTTTAATCAATGGAAAACTTATTTGACATATTATCTTGTCAAATGGAACCCAACACTGACTTGATTGTGCATCGTTTGTCCATTTAATTTAATTTGTTTCTTTGCATAAACTTCACATTAACGTCTTGGTTTTCATTACAAATATCAACCACAAGCCCTACGTACCATTCTTCATCGTAAAAGCATGCAATATATTTACGGGGTTGAAAATTTGAAGTATTTTTTTAAATCAAATTAAAATCATTTAACACATGAGTGACATGTGTTAAAACATCATAGACAATATCACTAGAGATTCTTTGTAAAAACAATTTCTATCCATCTGGTACAAAACAGTGATAGCTTCTTGTTCCCGGAACTGTGCGCATCCCTTCATATCATTTCTGAAGGTTAAAAGTTGTTTCATGGTTATTGATATCGTCACTTGAAAGATAAAATATGTTAACACCTTTGATGTTTTTTTGAGCCCATGTAAACAGATTTTGTGGTGTGAGAATCTGATTTGTAATTGCTACTTGTAGACTAGCTTTTGCTGCTTCTCTTTTTTTAGTACCTCCTATTCCATCACATGGACTTTTTACCATGTGGCGTAGCAAAGAAGTGATGCTCAGCATTTATTTGGTGATCTACAATGTGATAAATTAAGTTTATTAGACATTTGTAGTTTTATACTGTGAGGCAGCACTATCACTGAAGTATTTAACTTTATTCACTGTGGGTAGTTTGATTTTGACCATAGGGAGCAACTTTTTGAGAAAACAATGGACTGCTGATTGGTCATGACAAAGATGGTCAGAAATTAAACAATAGCATTCACATTTAAGGTGATCTTTTTCATCTTTATAATAAATAACAAATGGGTGTAAGGTAGCTTGATCGGCTTGCCAGTAAAACCCTTGTATAGCATCTTGTACAAGAAAACTATAGTTTTCTGCGAAATCCATCAGAATAATGCAGGTATATTGGTCTAATGTTTGTTTTGCCTCTGATAAGTAGGAAGACTGCGCTTCTTTGATAAAGTGGTGGTGACAAAGGTCATACTAAGTTTCACTTAAAGTTTCAATAAATTCACTAATGCTTGTTTGGACTGTTTTAAGTGCAGTTCGGTCAGTTGACACCCATTGTTTATATGTGATCTGATAATCAAAATCAAAATCATTCTTTTCAAACACATTTTCCAAGTAAGTCTTCAAATTTATTTTACCAGGGCAGTTGGAACATAGATGAAACATGCAGTTTCGACTATCTATATTACAAACACATAGTTTCATTAAATATTTGTAATATTAAATGGCTGTTAGGAAGAGCAGAGCACATCAACTTAGCATTTTGATGGTAAGAACATACACAAACTGAGTGGCTTCCACTACTATCAACAGTAAGGCACCGCTTTGGCCTTAGTTCACAGAACTTGCTGAATCCAATTTTGTGTTCAGTGTATAACTTTTTAAATTCCAGATGAAGTTCTTTTAAACAAACTAATATTAAGCGTTTTTGTTTATGAACTTTAACATTATTTATACGCACAGAAACAAAGTATTTTTTTCCTGGACATTGTCTAGTGTATTCGTCAGATTCATATATTTCAATGACTCTCTGCTTAACAATATCCTCCCAAGGATGTCCTTTTTTTAACCTCAGGTTTAGCAAGTATACCCTTTTCATTTTTTAGCTTTCTGGCTTTCTTAACAAGATAGTCTGAAACTGAAAATGCATTGCAAGTTTTTTTAATTGACCAACCATCAGGAGTTAATGTTAGTAATTGAACTTTTTCTTCATTCAAGCTGATTTTTACTTTTTCCTTTATTGCATCTAAAAGTTTGCCTAAATCATTACAGTTAATGCACATTTGCTTTTTCTCAGATATTATTTCTTTTGGGTCTTTGTCATACTTGTTTCCAGTTTTTTAACTTTTTGCTTTCCATATTCTAATTTGTCACGTTTACTTACATTTTTTAGAGGAGATATTTCCAGTAAAGAAGCACTCTTATTTAAAACTGTCTTATTTAAGTCTGAAGAACTAAACTCTTCATCTTCATCATCAACATCTTTGTCTTCATCTTCTTGACTATATTTTCCTGTTATTTGTTCAAGTTTGAATTCATTCAAACAGTTAGTGCAAAGTTTTTGACCAGGTTTGATCTTAAGTTGACTTGCTGTTAAATTATTAACTTTACACAATCCCTTAATAATTTTTTTCTTGTGGACTTTAAACGGATCACAGCAGTATTTTTGAAGCGCTTCATATCTAGAAATATAGACTTTTTCATAGTGAAAACATATCTCCTCATTTAGTTCAAAAGTGTGTCCAATTCTTTGAATTAAAACTTCAGCATCTGTGCTCACAATATCTTTTAGTTTTATTCTCCCAATCATTCTACAATAATACGTTTTGTCACAATCTTCATTTAAAGCTTTCCCCACACAACATTTCTCTGTCATTTTTTACTATTTTTTTATTTTTATTACTAATCTAAAAAGTTTAAAAAAGACATAAACATATTAAATCTCAAAGAAACTAACAAATATCAGACACTGATTATGACACTGATTATGTCATTATTAGTAGTACAAATTAGGGCATTATGTCATTAAAAAGAAAACTGAATATATTCATTCACAGATAAAAAAAAATATATACTACTGTCCCTGTGACTAATTATTAGACTATGACCTAAGGCTAGCTCATAGTCTAATAACATTCTCCTTTTGAAAATATCATCACTCTCAAAAGGCTACAATCATGTCATAAGATAGAGTATAGGTCATTAAATTTTTTTTGGTGATTGTCTATATATAGAACCTCAACATTTAAAAGTTTCATAATTTATTTCAACTGTTTACGCTACTTTCTATGCTAGCAAAGTCAATGTAATTTATCATAATTTTTAAAAAAAGTGATTTTTCAATAGGCTGCTGCATGTGCTAAATTAATTTTTAATGCATAATTTTGATTATTTTAACATGTAGTGACCCTAAGTACAAAAAGGTAACAAAAAAATCCACTTTCTGTAAGTAAGTATGAAACTGTAACACGTTAAAGTTTGAAAAAATATTTATAATGTTGCAATATTTAGCAACTTTAAGGTACAATAACTCAAAAACTGTAAAAAATCAGTCAAAAACAACTGCAATAATGGATTATTTGGGTGAAAAACTATTACCCTACAAAATTTCAGGTGATCACCATCTTTATTTAAAAGGTTATGGTTTGTCAAAAATCGAAAAAAACTGCTGTAAGCTCCTGATACACAAATTTTTCGGATTTTGGTAATTTCTAATTCAATCATAACTTTGGAACAAATTGGTCAATCAAGCTGAAATTTTCTGGATTGCATTTTTTTCATAAGATCTGTGTGTGGTCAAAGTTTAAAGCAAATCTAAGATGGTACCCTGGGGAACTTTCAAAAAACTAGGTGATTTGATATGGAATAACCCATATAAAAGTTATTTTTTATGCAGTGGTTTTAATTTTTTGTTGTTGTTTTTTTCTTTCATTTTTCCATTTTCCTTACTTTTTTTTTAAGCTTTAAAGCTTTTATAACAATTATATATTTTATAAATAATATATATATATGTATATATATATATATATATATATATATATATATATATATATATATATATATATATATATATATATATATATATATATATATATATATATATATATATATATATATAAAATCATTTGATATTATTATTATTTTTAAATCTGAAATTTGTTATTATTAAATCTGAAAATTGTTATTATTAAATCTGGACTTATAATTTAGTCGTGAAAAAACAGTTATTCCAATAATTGTGATCAGCTGCATAAAAGAAATTGAAAAGAGGGGTGTGTTTTCTTTTACTTTTTTTAACAAATTTTCTTTTTTCAAAATTTTTTAATAGTTAAATAAAAATAAAAAAAATTGTTTCAGGTATGGATGAAGTTGGTATCTACAGACTTTCTGGTATAGCATCGGAAATTCAAAATATAAAAAAACTTTTTAATGATCGTAAGTTAATGCTTTCAACTATAAAATTTTTTTATCTAACACTTTCTTTTTTTTTAAGTTTTTTGAGATTTTAAGTTTATTAATAAATTTTTAATTCCAGACACACAAAGTGCTGTGTTGCTTCTTGGAGAAACTGATATCCATGCTGTGGCTGGAATATTAAAACTGTATTTTAGAGAACTTCCACAATCACTTTTTACAGGGAGCTTGTATCCTAAATTTGTTGAAGGATTAAGTAAGTTTTTTTTGGTGTAATTTATTACAATAGTACTTTCTGTTTTTTAATGTTTTTATTGTTTAATGTAGGCATTAAAGATGCCAATGAAAAAGAACAGTTTATGTTAGATACTTTACATGAGCTTCCAAGAGTTAATAAGCTTACTGCGCTTTATCTTTTTGAACATTTACGAAGGTTATTATTTTTTTATTATCATATACTAATAAGCTCTTTAGTAAATTTATTTCTTTACTTAAAAATTTCTTTTGTTGAATAATAAACATCGATTTTAATCTTTTTACAGAATACATTTTATGAAGCTAATTCTACTGTGATTTTGTAGATGTTTTTAGAAATAATTTTTTTTTTTTTATATAGTTAAAATAAAATTGCAAGTTTTTAAATTTGTGAAAAAATGAACCTTAAAATCCCATCAACAAAACAGCAACAACAAGCTAGTTATTTTTCTTAAATCATTTTTATTAATGATAATAAAAATAATAATAATAGCAATAATAATAGTAGTAATAACAATAATATATAGTAATATAAGGTAACAAAATTAATACAAATTATAATAATAGTATAATAAGTATGTTTAGAATAAATAAAATAAGAAAATAATAATAAATATTATAATGGTAGTTAAAAGCATAAAATTATTTATAATAATAAGTTAATGATTTATTAGGATGGTGTCACTCATACAGAAATCTGATCAAAGGAGAAATTTTTAAATATAAGTAATAATAAGCAAAGACATTCATTGAAACACATGGATTGTAAACACAAAGATTAAAGCACATAGAACATACATTAAAAATAAACATGTAGAAATCATAATTTTCCAGTTAAAATATTAAAGAAAAAAGAAACAAAGAAAAAGTACTGATTGTAGTAATAACGAAAAGAAAATTAAAAGAATATAGTAATAGTAAGGATATATTCCTTTTCCATTCACAGATGCACTGATAAACAATAGAATGTTTACCATACTTTTGGGTTTTAAAAAGTGGTATATTTCCATTGTATATACTCCTAGTAGAGCAGGAATGTACTAGTCTACTTTCTTTGAACAAGTTTGTAATAGAAGATCAGGCCTTGTTAAGAAGCATTTCCCTATTTGAATTTTACATATGTATTCACGATTTCATGTACGCGTTTTGCAATTTACGTTACCCCAAAACCTTTTTCAATAAGTTTATTTTAAATAGAGTTTCAAAGCAGGTTATGCAGAAAACATTTAACTGTAATTAATTGTTGTAAAAAAACATTTGTGAAATATTTTTTTTTATTAGATAAAAAAACAGATAGGTATCCTTTTTTCTATTTTCCGTTTTTAAAAAAAAGTATATTTAATTTATTTTATTAAATTTAAATGAATTTTATTATTATTCATAGTTTTAGTAATTTATTTGATTAAATTTAATTAAAGTTCTTTTAAAAATTTTAAAACACTCCGTTTTACAATTTATTTTACTGCTAAAATTTCCAAAATTTATGTTAAAATAAAAAAAATGTAATAAATTTAATTCAAGTTACTTTAAAATGTTCGCATTACATATAACTTCATTGTAATTTTAGTTAAGTTTTAGGTAAGTTCCAGTTCCAAATACTGGTCTGAATAATGTGCTTTTGTAGCTAATAAATGATGTCAATACAAAAAAGTTCTTTCAAACTATTGTTTTTTTTTTTGTTTTTTTTATGTTTATCTTTTTTTTTTTTTTTTCTTTTTTTTTTTTCCTTTCTTATTTAGCTTTTTTTTTTTTTGGCAATTCTTAAAAGTAATGTTTTTGTCTAAGTTTTTTTACGCTAAATTTATCTTTTGAATAGAAGTGTGATTGATCTGATCTGCTCTTTTGCGCAGAGATTCAACGTAAAAAACTTTTGAATTTAAATTACTTTAAATATATGCATGGAAATCAATAATATTTTAAAAGGTCATTAAAGCAAAAAGTTTAAAAAGAAAAAGATGTTAAAGCAAATTTTTTCTTCATTCTTTTTTTTTTAACAAAACAGCCTGGTTTTTATCTTGATTTTCAAAATGTTGCACCAAATTAATTTATTATTAATAATTTAAACTATTATTTTATCAACAATTTTATATTATTAATTTTACTACTTTTAGTATATTGAAATGTATATTAAATTTATAAACAATACTGGGTTTGCAAAAAGTCTCATTTTCAGCCAAGCACAGGGGTAGGGCCCTACCCAGGGTTACTAATTACTTCTGTTCAAGGAAATTTTTTCCAAAAAAGTAATTTAAGCATTTACTTAACGCATTAAACTTAACGAAAATAATACATAAAAAATAAATCGATTTATTAAATCAAATTTTTCATTACAAAACAGTTTGAACAAAAAAATTGAATGAAAACATCAACTTAAAAACCATTTGAATCAAAAAATTATTTATACTTAAATTTTTAAATTATACTTAGATTTTTATTAGTAATAGCAATAAGTTATAAAAAACGTGGTATCTAATGTTTTTTTGCTTTGACCTTACTCGTTTGGTCTATGCATGCTTATGCATTTTTTTTTAATTTAAACATTTCTAATTATTTATTTTGTTTTATTTTAAACACATTTTATGTTATTGTTATAAAAACTTAACCCAGCGACACAAACAGCGTCACAAAGTTGTTTTATAATATCACAAGCTCTTTATATTGTCAAAACTTTGCAGTTTGTTTTATTGTTGTGTTATTGTTGTTTTATAGCTTTTTACAAAAACAATTCAATGCTCTTTAAAAATAACACATGTTTTATTGTCAGCATGAACGTATTAAATAGTTTTCTACAACTATTTAAAGTGGTTTAAATATTGTAATATTTGTGTTTTTACTTTTACTTTTTTAAGGATCATAATAAGTAAAAACAATTACTATAAGTAATATCGTAATAGTATTAAATACTTAACTTGCTCATTACATCATAGCTTGCTCATTACATTCCAACTGCAACTTAAACTTTAAACTATAACTTAAGCTGTAAATTATAACAGTAAACTATGCTATTTTAAACTCTAATATATACAAAGTTATAAGATAATATTTAAATATGACAGATATTATGTTTAAAAAATAACAATTATGAATTAATGTTGAAAAAATACAATTTTATACTAACACAACCCCATCCTTCCTTTACCGCAGAGCGTCACCAGGGATGAGGGGGGTAAAGGTTTTTTCTTTTCGCGATTAGATTTTTTTGCATTAATTCGAGCCCTGGTTCTATATCCAACACAATATATAAGCATATTTCAAATAATGGTCTATTAAATAAACATCAACATGGATTTGTAAAGGGGAAATCTTGTTTAAGAACCTTTTGAGTAAATTGCTAGGGGAAAACATTCTAATAAATATTTTTTATCTTGACTTTACTAAAGCCTTTGACACGGTACCTCATGAACGTTTGTTAATCAAACTTAAGTCATGGAATATCAAATGTCATATGCAACTGGACTAACAACTTTTTAACTAATCAACACCAAAGAGTGATACAATGAAATGAAGTACCAAACATGATAACAAGAGGTTAGATAAGATTGGAGAAATTACCAATCCCCAAGGATTGGTAATATCTCCAATCTTATTTATTATATATATCACTGAGAGCAGTTAATGATATGGCAGAACTAATGGTTAAATTAAAGACTTTCATGGTTGAATCAAAAGAGTATCAAAAGCAATTTTTATAGCATTGTATACAAGAACACAGAAATATATATCCTAATTTTAAAAAAATTTACTGAATATAAATAATGAATTCTTCAATTTCCCTATAGATCCATACTAACTTTTCAACTTAAACTTTGACATTTGAAGTCAGCACGGGTTATCATCTGATCTCAATAATATTTAATATTTAAGTTTTTGGAGTCAAATAAAAAAAATAGAGGGTATGCGTTTTGAAATTAGAAAAATTTCTCCTATGTAAGCTGGGACACCCTAATACATATATATATATATATATATATATATATATATATATATATATATATATATATATATATATATATATATATATATATATATATATATATATATATATATATATATATATATAGCTATGTTAATAAGTTATGTTAATAAAACTTATCTACAAATTGTCAAATGTTGATACACAAAGATGTATCAGCTGATGGGTTGTTGTGTTGTTTTCATTATTTTAAAATTATGATACAATTATGGATATTTATCAAGTGGTAGTTTTTGAGGAGATATGATTTTTTGTTACTGATAGAAAAGAATTTGGTGAGTATTTCATTTCGAATTTTTTGTAGTTATGTTTTTATGTTACTAACCCATCGATATATAATGCTCACTCAATGACAAAAAAAAAAATCTGAAAAAAATATTATTAAAAATTAAAAAAGTTAAAAATTTTGTTAAAGAATTTTTTTTATAAACTATATTGCAACAGTAATGCCATCTTTACAGCACCATCTTTACAATTCTAGGGAAATTTTATTAAAGAATTTTTTTACAAACCTCATAAAATTTTATAAACCTTAAAAAAAACGGCGCAGCTTTTTGATAAATCCATTGAAGCCAAAATTTTTTGCACATCTTTTTGTGACAAAAAACTTAAAAAACTAGAAATAAGATTTTAGTTTAAATTAGAAAAACTTCCTCTATTAAAATATAAATTTATATTTTATGAGACATATTCGAATAAAAACTAAGTACATCAATAACTACGTTATTTCTTTAAAACTATTTATTTATAAGTCTTCTAATGAATAGAGACTCTTACCCATGTAATGCCGTTCCCCAAGGGGTTACACAGTGCCTCAGAAATCTTTAAAGGCCAATAACACATTCAGTAAAAAGTAATTTTTAATTTAGTTTTGATAAAAACTGAATGAAAAAAAAAGATCAAACAAAAATATCCTCAAAAAAGATCAAACAGAAATATCCTTAAAAAAAGATCAAACAGAAATATCCTCAAAAAAAGATCAAACAGAAAAATCCTCAAAAAAAAAGTTTTAAAAACAGAGATTAATTTTTTTATAAATATAAACTTTAGACATTTTAAAAAATGTTTAAACTTTATATTTACAAAAAGTTGTCAACACTTGTATCAACACTTGTATCAATCTAACATTTGTATCAACACTTCTCCAATTGTATAGAAAATGAATATGAAAAGTTTCACATATTTGCACTATATTGAATTAAGTTTAAAAGTAATCTAGGATCTTATAAACTAGCGGCTTATGATAATATTTAATCTCTGGGAGATTACAACTTTAGCTAAATTTGTATTTATTATAAATCAATATCATGTACATTCTAATTTAAGACATCTAGATTTTGTATTGTGTTTATTTGGGAATTGGTATTTCTATTTTTATTGCACTCTAATTTAAATATTACCAGAGAGCCAGGAGGTTCTTCAGAAGCATTACAAGATCAATAGCAATTCAATTTAGCGTTAAGATTGTTTGTCAGAAAGTTTGCCTCTACTCAATCCTGCATGTTGTTGGAGCTTAAATGAATGACTAAGGAAATGTGCAAAAAAGGAATAGCAACTAAAAGGCATTGTAACTTGGTCTGTCACTCTCCACTGCTAAATAAAAAATTACATTCTGCTGAATAAACAATTCAAATTCGATAGTAGATAAGTATTACAAAGAAATCTGCAAAGCTAGATTAAATGCAAGTGCAAAAATTTAAAGAGTTAATGTGATAAGACGTTAGTTCAACCACCTTCTTATTAGATTGAACTCTATAGTATCTTCTACAAGTTTCAAAAAGTATAAGTGAACATCTAACGTCTGATGTTCTTGTTTGGCTCGTTAAAAATTAATTGATAAATATGTATTTTTTTGCTGTAAATTAAATGTAAATTTCTTGTTCATTTTGAAAATAAGTTTGTATTCTGTATTTACATTGTTGAAATTTCTGGAACATTCTTGGAACATTCTGTGGAAGCCAACATTCTGGAAGTGTTGGCTTCCACAGAATGTTCCAAGATGTACACAATCTGTTGTAGAAATCAGAAGAACATTCTATGAGGGTAAACATCCAATAAATGCAAGTGAAAAAACTGTAAAGACAAAGTGAAAAACACAAGAACATTGATTATTATTTGAGTTAATTCGATTAAAGTTGATATTAAAGTTTATGTATACATTTGTTTTGGAGCGTATTATACTAGAGCTTATATAAATATTTGTGATGGAGATAATTATATTTGTGATGGAGTTAATTATATTAAAGTTTATATTTCTTTTGGAGCTTACTACAATATTTATATATTTATGTTAGAATTCATTATACAAGAAATTATATATTTCTATTGGAGTATTCATTATTATTGAAGTAACCTTTTTTATATTCCTCCTCATTGCTATAATTTTTGTGAAAAACCTACATGCTCATAGAATGTTTGCTTCTCTAATGTTGTTAGAGAATAGCTTCTCTAATAATGTAAGAGTAGCCCTTCCTACTTTCTTCTTACTTCACCTTCCTACTTATTTCTTGCTTCACCTTCCTACTTACTTCTTACTTCACCTTCCTACTTACTTCTTACTTCACCTTCTTACTTACTTACTTCTTACTTCACCAAAAGATTTGTGTTAATATTAGTTATATCAATTCAGCATGCTAAATAGAGTATTACGTCTTAAAATACAGCATGCTAAATAGTTTAAATAAAATTAATCAAATAAATATTTTAAATTATAATTGTTTCCCTTCATGAGTCGTATTTTATTTTTTTAATTTTTTTCAAAGTGACCAAGAAGTGTTCTTTTATTTATACAGATACGGGATCCTTATCAATTTCTTCACAAAATCGAACTTGCTTTTTTTAAAAATAAGTAAAATCATTTTTTTTTTGGCCATTTTTCGACCTCTTTAAAACACTGTGGGGCGTAAGGAAGCCTAAAAACGCATCTGATTGACCATATCATTCAACTTACCGCTAATAATATCTCAAAAATCCTTTTAAAAGGTATTAGTTTGCATTTATTTGTCAATCATTCAGTATTTTAAAGATATCATTCTCTATGAAAAGAGTAAAAACTGTTTTTTCCCCCACGGTTTCAAGGTTGACATAGAAAATGAAAAAAATAGTCTAACGATATTTTTATACTAATCAATTTTGAAGAAAATATAAGGTGCTGTGAATTTTTTACTCGTTTCCAAAATGTATGATTATAAGAGTATGATTTCTGTGTTAAAAAAATAAAATATGATTTCTCTGTTTCCAAAATGAAGTGTGATTTCTCTATTAAAAAAAGAGAAATGAATTTTAAAAAAATTCATTTCTTTTTTTTTTTTTAACCAAGTTCTTTTAGATTTTATTGATTTTGGTTTAATTTTATTTTTTTATGTTCACATATATTTATAAATATATATAAATGTTATAAATGTATATTTTTTTTTTAGAGTTTCTTTACTAGAAAATATAAACAAGATGGGTGTAAACAATTTAGCAACTGTTTTTGGCCCAACTGTCCTTCGTACACCATCATCTTGTTCAGTTAAAGAAAACGAGTCTAGCTCTTGTAACGTTGATACATTTGATATTGGTGCGCTTGATGTTATGTCACAAGTAGGCGTGTTTAGGTATTTTTTGGCTCTTAAAAACAATCCTCGAGCATGTTTACCTGAAGATGATTTAGAGTTATGGAAAAGGCTTGATGTAGAGAAAGCTAATAAATTGCAAGGACATTTGTTGCAGTCTGCTGAAGAATTTCTTATATAAGAGTATTTTAAGCCGTGCAAATATTTAACTTGATTTTTTTAAAGTTTTATATACTCTTTTATTCTTTATAATTATTTTTCTTCGCGCTTTTTCTATTTGTAATTATTTATTATAGGCTCACTATGAATTAAGTTAGTTTTTTTAATATTTCATGATATTGTTGTCCTAGATTAGTGTGTCAAAATGTATAAGTTTATTTATTATTTTGTTCAATGATTTATTAAATCATAAATATACTTTCTGCCGAGTATTAATCGATAGTTGTCGATTATTAATCGATAGTTGTCGAGTATTAATCGATAGTTGTCTAATTTTTTTCGTTTAGTCTGGCATAGTCATCTAAAATTAAAAAATTCTCGAATATTAAATAGTGAAAAAGCAACATTTAAAATGTGAGTGACGTCATATAGTTGATTAAAAAAAATTTTTAAATGGATTGGATGCCAATAAAAATTATAATCTGTTTCCTTCTTGGTAAAAAAATGCCTAGTTTCATAAATGTTTATTTATAACAAGGTATTTAACTTATCAAATAAAGTTTGTTTCTTTAGACTTTATTTTGTTAAAGTTACTAAAAAAAATAAATGCTGATATTAATTTTGAATTAATTCTTTCTAAAAAATAAATGCTATGATTAACTCTTTCTAATTAATCTTTCTTTTCCTCTGGCTTAAATAAATTCATTTCATCTATCGGAAATTTTCAATTATCAATCGATGAGGTTGCATTCGAATTAAAGTTAAGGAGCTTGTATATTCTCGGACCCATTTAATGATTTTTTCACCAAATTTTGCTATCAGTTTAATTTTTTTTTATTTCAAAGTAAAGTTCGCAGTCCTTAAATCTTAACATCACGCACTTCCAAGGAGTGCGTGATGTAAAGATTTGAGTAGCAATTTTAAAATAAAGTTGTAAATAAGAAGCAAGTAAAAATGAAATAAAAAACAGTTTACTCAATAAAGTTAATAATATGTAATAATAAATTAATATGTTAAATATATCTTTAAATGAGATTAAGATTTTTTAATAGAAAAAGGCTAAAAAGAATCGGGATAAAAAACTTGAACATTTAAAGTTGGTTTAGAACTTCGTAGACAAAGATTATTATAATCTTTTTAATTCTTTTATTATTATAATTAAAGAACAATATACAAAATAAATAAGTAGCTGAGAGAAATTTAAGAAAGGGTTCAAGTTAATGAAAGAAAAAGATCAAGATGATAAAAAGCTCTTACTTTTTTTTACTCCGCGTTTTTTTAAAAATTCTTAATTTATGGTATTCATTATTACTAAAATTAAGTTTATTTGTAATTATTATAATTACCACTCTTTGTAATTAAATATTTATCATTATTATGATTAAGTATAATATTATTCAGCTTTCTTGTTATTTAGGAACTCATTTTACAATTACTTTGCTCATTGTGTTGAAACTATATTTGTATTTCACCTGATGATTACTATAGCGCGAAACTTATAGTCGTGAAAATCACATCGTTTTATTTTCTACTATACTATAGCACTGGCTAAGTTCATCGAGCATTTTCTTGATAGTATATGCACAAACAGCATCATTACAAACACACACATACATACATACATATATATACAGTACTTTTTTTCTCCTAGAACGCACCGGAACGGCGTTCCGGCACCTTTTTTTTATACATTTTTTTTCCCGCCTTTTAATAAACTTAATTTTAAAATATTTAACATTTTCAGTTTTAAAAAAAATTGTATTTAAAATTCTTTAAACTGAAAATTCAAATGTGGTTCGTAAAGTTTAAGAAAAACATTTTTGCATATTTGCAAACATTACAGCATTGCATTTCAGAATCTATTGTTTCTTAGCAGTTTGTAAAAACAAAATTTGCTTGAAAAGAATTTACTTTAACTTATTTTTTATAGTCCTTTTTTATGTTACCAAAATGTTTGTTTGTTCAAATATCAACCCCTCTACTAGAAGAAATTATTTTTTATGTGCAATATTTTTCCGAAATTCAATCTCATAATGCGCAACGCTACTTAAAAAAGATCGATATTTTAGAACACAAATTTTACGCTGTTTGCAACAGTAATTTTTATTTAATTGTTAACTAACTTCCTGTTAACAACGTATTAAATTCAAAGTTAAAACTTAATTGATATATTTGAAAAGTGATGTAAAATTATCAAATAAGTTTGCTACGTAGGAAAATATTTGATTACAAAGAATCTGACATCAAGCTGCATAAGCAAAATAAGAGACACTTTCAAACATTCAAGTTTTTAACGCAAGAGTAAATTGTAACAACAAACATTTTTTGAACTGCAAAAGTTAGAAAAGAATATAAGTTCTTTGATAACTTTGAAATCGAAAAATTGATCTTCAAGAAATTAACGGAGTTGAATTGGGTCGTAATCTTCATTCTAAAAAGTTATGCATTAACATTGTCAATCATACAGGTAACGAGTTGAAGAAAAAAATTATTGCAGAAGTCATAAAATTAAAGAGTATGATTTTGTTATTAGTTGATGATTCAACCACTTCAAGCCAAAAATTGATACTGGTAGTGTATTCGGTGCTGCGTAAAGGGCAGTGGAATGAATTCACCAATCAATTGACCTGCAGACAGGTCTGTGTCTTTTTATTTATTTATTATTAGACAAATACTACCAATGTATTACAAATTACGGCCACGTGCCGTAATTTGTAATACAATGGTAGTAGGGACCTTCCAGATCATTTGTTATGTATTCTTGGGTTGCCTTGTTCATACTTTTAGTTGCAGCATTCATATAAGCGGTATATACCAGATCATTTTTTTTTTTAAATTATCAAAAGCATTTTCAGAAATATTATTGAACATATGTTCTTTTTTTTTTTGAAACAAAATTCTGCTTGTTACCTTTACACATTGTGCTTTTAAAATAGTACAAACAGTGAATAGTATAACTTGTAAAATTTCAAAATACTAAAAAATGCTGCTTGAAACAACCTTGCTTGAATTAACTTGAATTTATATTAAGAATTTGAATGATCATTCAACTTATGACCAAAAAAATAAACAAGGTAGACTATAATACTCAAATATTATTTAATATTTAAAATATATAGATTTTTGCAATTTTACATTGGAAATGTTTTTGTTTCCTTATTGGTTGCTATGGCGTTGTTATGAACATTGCAAATTAATTGGTTGATATAAACCCACATTATTATTACTCAAAGTTAAAATTTTGCATTAAAAATTTTTGTATTCTGTGAACAAAAAATTAATGAACCAAATTTTAAATTTTATTTTATCATTTTTTTTTTAAATTGACTTTTATTTCTTAGCGTACCAACCCATATATATATTTTTATATGGGATGTTGATTATATATGTATATGGCTATTATATATATTAATTTGAGTGGTTTTAATTTAAATTAATTTTTAATTTCAAAGCAGTTACAGTAGTCTCTCGCTTAATTGCGCAAGTTGAAACAGGTACTGCGGTGCGCAATTAACTAGGAGTGCGCAAATAACAAAAAGAGAAGAAAAAATTTAGCAAATAAATTATTAACTACATAAACAAATCTTTATTAAGAAATATATTATGCATGACGGAAATAGTCATGAATTGTAGGCTGATATGCATTCTGCAGCTTTTCTCGTTTAATTTTCATCATTACTAAGTATGTTTGATGATAGTTGTTCGTAGCTATTCGTTAAATTATCGTTGTTCTCTTTTAAAATTGCTTAACCTTTTTGACATTTTAAATGCTTAATAATATTGATCAGAGATAAATGTATAAATTCAATACCTAAGAAGTCTGTACCATCGTCTATCTCATCATTATTAGCTTCTTCTTTATCAGAATTGTTATTCATAGCAACTACATTATCATTATTTTCTTCATAAGACAAAAAATCTTCAACATCTTCCTTGATTGCTTCAATATACGTTGAAAATCTTCACAGTCAATTGATTTAAAATTGCTGATATCTTCCAAACTGATCATATTCCCTATTCCTTCAATTTCGTTCAGCAGCGAGACCATATTAAAAGATACAAAGTCAGCCTCCTCAGAGCATAGTTTTTTTTTTTTTTTTTCTTTCTTCTCTATTTACATAACAAAAGAATTTTACAAATTCCACTACATAATATAAAATTTAACAAAATAAATAAAACAGATAGGGGCTCAAAAAAGATGAGGGTGACAGAACGCAATCTTTTCATAGAACCCCTTTAACAAGATTTAATTAAAATATCATAATATGACATACAAAATAAAAAATTTCAATAAAATATCATAACAAAATGCGTAATCCGCTAATAAAAATTGTCAAGCAACAAACAAAAGTAGAAACAAAACAAAAACGTATTTAACAGAATTTATCCAAAGCATTATTAACAAAAAATGTTTCACAGGTTTTAAAGATTTCTTTTTTTGTTAAAAACTTAAATGAACTTAACAAACTCACCGTACCTGTGTACCCTTTTTGAAAAATATTCCATACTTTTGGACCTCGATATAAAATGCTGTATTCTGAATATTTATTTATTATCCTAGGAAGTTTATATGTGTTCAACATATTCGCTCTAAGATTATAGTTATCATTTTTATTTAACTCAAACTTATTATTAAAGCTTATAGGAGAGATATTGTGATTGTAATGATACATGAAAATTAAATGCTGGTAGATATTTATTTCAAATACATTCATCATTTTCATATCTTTCATTAAGGAATTAGCGTGTTCCCGCCTATTTTTAAAGTAAATGATTCTACAGGCATGTTTCTGAAACTATAAAGTTTCTTAAGCTTTGCTGTTTGAGTACTTGCCCATGAAATGTTTGCATAGCTGATGAGGCTGTGAATTAGCCCAAAGTAAATTAATTTAAGACTATTTGTATTGATGTACGAGCGAACTCGATACATTAAACCTATGATTTTAGTAATTTTTGACTGGATATATATTATATGAGGAAGGCAGGATACTTTTTCATCAACAACGATTCCCAAGAATCTTATATATATAATCTGGATTGCTTTTTAATTAATTTGTCTAATTTTTCTAATTAGTTCAGTGTTACGGGACTGGAAATCTGAAATAATTCTGCCTTGTCGAAGCAATTTTTTAGAGATAAAGGTTAAATTGATTTCCTAACCAAATCGACATACTTAGCAGCGTCAAAAAGAAGTGCGGGCTTCCCGTATTCAACTCCTGCTGCACCTCTTTTGCACAAAAGACTACTTTCAGACATTCCTTTGTATTTTACATTGAGACTGTAATATGACAATATGT